TATCACCCTACAGTACTAGAATTGAAGTCATTTAAAAAAAATTTATATATTTTGGTAAAAAATATAGAAAAATAATTTATATTATATATGAGATTTTCAATATTTATAAATAAATATGTATATTATCATTATTGATGACAAAAAACCCAATGGTACCAATTTTTTCATCATGATTGTCATGTCATAATGATAATTATTTAATGATTACTTTTTTTTAAAAAACAAAAATATTAATAATATTATATTATAACAACAATTTTTACCTTTGATGTATATAAATAATAAGTAGAGATTACTAATTGAAAACTAAAAAAAATTTTGGCGCGTAAAATATCTTAAAATTAATTTAAAAATAGTGATTTAAAAAGCATCACGGGGTTCGAAAGGTTTAATGTATGATGTGTACTTAGAAAAATTATGTCAAACACTTAGATTTTTTAAATATTTTATTATAATTTAGAATGCAAAAATCTTAATTTCAATTTATTTAATAAAAATATTGAATGAAAATTATAATTTTTTTCAATGATGAAATAAATATTCGTATATATATACTCCATCTCATCGAATCCCCCATCTTACTTAGTGCATACCACCCTCCCATCTATGTATCGCGGGTAATTACTATAATGTTTTAAATGTTAAGGAGAACGTTCTTAAAAATGTATATGGTCTATTTTCAACAAATTAAAACGTAGAAAGAAATTTTTTTTATTTGATAAATAATGCTTAGAAAGATATCTATATAAAAAATTGTATTAGAAAATTTATTTTTATACATTTGAAAAAATGGATATAGAATAAAAAATTAACTCTATCTTCAATAATTTAAATAGAAATGTTCCATATCCAAAAATAGCATTATAAAATTTTATAAATCACAGAGAATATATTGGAGGATTTAATTCTTTATTATAGTTCATTAAATAAAATTTCCATATAATTGGCATCTGATTTTGGAAAGTATTTAAGCATAGTTTTGAGATTATCAATCTTATCTTTCTTATCAAGCAGCTTTTGCCAATATTAGGAATATAATCAAATAAAATAAGAATTATTTTGTTTACTTTTTTTGTTTTTTCTTGATGTTCTTAATAGTTCTCCAGAAATCGAATGTCTGTAAATTCCAAGAGGTAATGTTTAAGTTTATAAAAGATAGTCACTGGATGGGATTTTTGGTAATATATCTGCTTGATTGAAGTATATTAAACCTTAAAATTAAATTTTTTGATTGGAATTCAAAAATATCTGTACTCCTCCTAAGATGATAAAATTGAAAAGAATTTTTGCAATTTTCATATGATCTTTATCGTGATAATCATTATTATCAATATAATATGATACTAAATTATGAATAATTAGAATACTCATTTCATACCTAAAAGTACTTGTTCATAGGATTTTCATTATGAAAGTCATATTTCTCACCATTTAAAATAATATCAATATTCAATAATATAATTGGAATATTCATCTTATACTTAAAAATTATTAACTTGTTAGTAGGATTTTGATTGTGATAATCATATTTCACACCATTTAATCATTATTCATTTTAATAAATTAATTAAAATTAGCATATTCATTTCATACTTAAAATTTATTAACCTGCTCTTCACCATTTAATAGATAATAATTAGAATATTCATTTCATACTTAAAAATTATTAACTTGCTTAAGGAAATTCTCACCACACCAATTAAATTATTAGCATTGTTATAAATAATATTAAATCTATAATAATGTATTTCATAAATAAAAATATATAATTTACTTGTTTATAGAATTACTAGTAGATAGCCTGTCAAAAATGACGGGTAATGAAAATTTTCTTCTTACTTTTATGCATGTTACCTGTTATTTGAAAATAATATCCAATTTTTATTCTTCTTACCCCCTCATCCCTTCATGCCAGGTTTAATCCATTAAAACTAAATAAATTTAAAGCATTTACTTGATAATACCAATATTATTTGTTAAATATTACTGATTACTTATACCTAATATTTAATATTAAAAAAAATTCCCAGGCAAAGTCCAAAGCCATATTAATTATGAAAAGTTCCAAGCCCAATGAAAGATCATAATAATTTTGGTGGTTAAGAACTGAAATAAAATATTTAAATAATCATAATGAACTTAAAAATACAATCAAAATTCAGATTTTCATGGGCCTTGGTTTTTTGATCAGGTCAAACCCATGCCTGCAAAAAAATTTGTTTTGGGCCAATGTCTGACCTATAATTAATAATAAAAATATTCTCAAGCATCCAAGCTCATAATAATTTTGAAAAATTTTCCCCAAGCCCAGCCCAATATAATTTATAAAAATATTTTCCAAGTCCAGCCCAACCCATAATAATTTTATAAAAAAATTTTCTCAAACCTGGCCAACCGATAGTAATTTAAATTTTTTCCCAAGCCTGGAAATAGGCAAATCTATAAAAACCATTAGTCTATTTTAACCCAGCTCACTTATTAAGACTAAGAGTGAATACTATTTTTTTGAATAAAAATATATTTAAATTAGATTTTACCTAAGGGCCATATAAATATTCTGTGTTAAATATTACACCTATGCCTAATATTAAAAAAATTCTCAAGCCAGATCCCACTTGGTTTTCTCAAACCCGCAAAAGACCATAATAATTTTGATAGTTGAGGACTGAAATAATATATAAAAAGTCACAATGCATTTAAAAATACAATCATAATATGAAAGTTGCATGGGCCTTGGTTGATCAGGCCTTGCCATGTCTGCAAAAAAAGTTTCAGACCAATCTATAACCCATATTTAAAATTCAAAAATCTTAAAGCACCTCCATTTTAAATTTTATCCAATATGATTTCCATCAGATTTTTAAATTTTGATATTTCTAATAAATGCTCGTAGTATAGATTGCAACAATTTTACCTCTTCTCTTAAATTTTAATATTTATATAAAATTTATTAATAAAGTATATTTAATACCATATACAAACTAAATAATTACCCTTCAACCTTCAACCCATGGTTTTTTGATCAGGCCTGGCTATGTGTGCAAAATAAATTTCGGACCAATTTATAACCCATATTTAAAATTCAAAAATCTTAAAGCACCTCTATTTTAAATTTTATTCAATATGATTTCCATCACATTTTTAAATTTTGATATTTCCAATACATGCTCACAGTATACATAACAATTTTATCTCTTTTACTCTTAAATTTTAATATTTATATAAAATTTATTAAAAAGTATATTTAATACCATACACACAAACTAAATAATTACCCTTCAACATCTATATAATTAATATTTTAAATTTAATTATGTTCAAATTGGTGCATGCGTGAAACTTTAGTATATATATAATTAATATTTTAAATTTATTTATATTCAAGTTGGTGCATGCGGAATTTTGAGGTTCCTTTTTTTTAAACACAATCAATCAATTATTGCAAAAGGAAGGAATAAAACCTGTTTTTAAATGATTCAATTATACTCAGGATGCTAAAATTTATAACCATTACGTTCTAGTTCGTTATGCAAGTTAGCTCGGGTATCCATTAAAATGGTTTGATTTTTTTTTGGATAATCATAATAGAACCACTGCAATTTGACTCCTACAAAAGGTTGTGCCTAAAAATTATAAAAAATTTGGGTTGAGCTTGGGTTTAGAAAAATCCCATTTCATCTGAGGCCGAATATGCTATCGGGAACTTGATCTGTCGGGGTCGAATAGGACCTTGATTCTATAAGTTTAATCCAAGCAGGATACGTACCTCCTCATTTCGTTTTCCTAAATATTCTTTTCCATGATAACGCCAAAGATCGAAATCAACTGGCTTTGATTTAAATATATGAACCGGATATAATGGTTTTTTATTCGTTTGTTTTTTGATTTTTTTTATAGTGGTTTAGTTCCGCTTACGATTTTAGGAATTTTTAAGATTTGTTTGGTAATTGATTAAAAGGAAAATTAATTCATTTTTCCTTTAATCAAAACCTAACAAGATTGTACACAAAATATATTATAGACATGAGCAGGGAGGATATATTGGCCATGGCTGCCAAATTATATTTTATAAATAATGAATTCTTCTTTTCTAATAAAGCCCGTATTTTTTATTTATTTTTAAGTCTGAGTCATATTTTATTTTCTCGACCTGACCCTCCCCGGCCATGTTTTGGTCGGCCAACTGTCAAAGATCTACCCGAAACTGTAGTACATACAATCTACAAGGTTCTTTATCCAATTTTTTTTCCTGTTTAAATTTAATGATTTTTATAAATGGAAAAGGAAACCTTATAAATAATAAGAAAAATAAATAAAAATTATAATGAAAAAATAAACAGTATAATTAATATTGTAAATGTAATTACATGAAAATGGAATTGGAATTCTTAATATAGCAATAATATTTTGGTGGAAAAAAATTAATTATTTTAAAAAATATTTATCTAATTAAATTAAATTTTTTAAATTATAATAATATTAAATTATTGATTAACTTTTAAATATTTTATTTTTTTTAAAATGTGAAAAATAATAGACATTTCTATTAAATTTTTTTTTTAAAATATTTATTTTAAAATGTTTCAAATTAAGTCATAGTTTTCAAAATTTTTATATTCATGCCCAATGTAATTCAATTATACTATTATTATACTAATTAATTTGGATATAATTATATGCAGAAATATTTACCGTCCATTACTTATTACTTACTATACAACTAGCGATTTATAAATGGTATAATCATTTATGATATTTTTTTTATACTTTTGATAACAGTTCAATAAGACTGAAATCCTTTTCTATAAAAGTTCAACTGACCGCATTGAAGATAAATACTAAAATTGGATGTCTTCAATTTGTAGAAGTTGCTAATTTGGTAGGCGGCTTGACTTTACTACTTAATTATATATTTATTTTTTTATCTTTTAACATTGCAGCAGGCGGCCTGGCTTTATTGCTTAATTATATATTTATTATTTTATTTTATAACACTGCAGCAATGTATTAAAGAGGGATATCTCATGAAACAATCTTCGAAATCGTTTCAAGTATTTTAAAAATTTTATATATTATTGCCTTTTGCGTTTGTCTCTACATTTACGATCATTTATTTAATTTCAAAAATGTATTTAGATAGTAAAATAAGCGAATACAAAAAATAATAAGATTTTTTACGACTTATGTGATGTGATAATATAGGTTCTTTTAAAAAATGTTTTTAGCGTTATTTTGATTTGTAAAAAAAAATTACAGGATTATTAAAAATAATATATTAAAATTTGGAAATATTAAGACTTAGTTTTATCTGTGTAAACTAAGTCAATGCGGAGAATAGAAAAGTAATAACCACGGTAGCTGGGCAGTGTCATAGCTGAACCAGCGCCTTCTAGGGACCCCTTGAATTAAAAGTTTAGGTTTATCTACTTTTTTTATAGAAATTTTAACAAAAGAAAACTGGAAAGGTTTGTATTCTAGCTCGGAGTATTGTTGTATACGACTGACAGCGAAAATGTGATTATTTATACAAGTTCCTGGCATATAGATAAAACGATCACTCCAGACATTTCTATTCCACTCCCCGCCTCCTACCCAAGCAAAAAGGAAATAAAAATTAACGAGAAGAGAATCAAAGAGGAAAATTAGTTAATATGCGAATCAAAGACAAAATTAGCAAAAAAATTCAAAATTAAGAAATTCATAAGAAATCAAAATCCTCATAATGAAATCACATATTCGCAACTCCCTATACGCCCTTCCCCCTCTTCCCTTCTTAATTTCAACTACGATCTTGCGTTAATCCCTCCCTCCCCATATTGTAGAAGGGTTTGTCTGCCCCCATATTATTTATCTAACAAACCACGATTATTATTCTATTCTATATTTCTTATTATTTACTTTTTTTTATATAGGCAATTAAATCTTTTAATTGCAAATGTTTATTATTGTAAAATCATAATTGCCTTCTTCAAAGTTTTAAAAAAAAATCGATTAAGAAGTGCTCGATTGAAAAAGCTTTATCTAAATAGATAATATTTTAGGAGTGTTCATAAATTTTGCTCCACCCTTTAGAATAATGTAATAATGCTTCGTGGCCATTAGAAAGAAAGATAATTTTTGCACTCGATTCCTAAGATGCTACCAGACTTTCTATCTTTTTAAAACCCTTATAAATAATTTTTGCATTGCCCTAAAACTAGGTGATATCTCAGCCTCTATATATTTCTTTCCTCCAAGATGGTAGTAAACCTGTAGAAGAAGATAGTCGGTATACTATGGTGTTCTGTCTGTAGAAAAAATTATAGAAAAAAATCACAAAAATGATGCTACAATATATATTTCGGCAAGCATTGACCAATTATTGAGTCGCTATAAGATGAGAGATAAGAGAAATGGTAGTATAGGCATTATTTGGATTTACAATGTGTAAATAACGTTATTATTTGAGAAATCAACTTGATTTATTAGAGTTTCAAAAAGCTATTATATAGGTACAACTTATTTAAACAAAAAGAACAGAAGGTAATATTATTAAAAATAAACTCATTTGCAATGTTATATTGAGATATGCTAAAGATCGTATCGTCATTGACTAATACCATTGGAAAAAAACAGAATAGTCTATCAAAAATTATCAGCATGTTTGTGAGAAGTATAGCTGGCGAATTTACATTTAGCCTGCTCTAACAATATTTTAGATCTATTACAGAGCGGCACATTTTTTAATATTTTATCAATCCCTTTTAAGTCATATATACAATAAATAAATTTTCAAGATTCTATTTTGTCAAATAATATCTATAAGATAAGGAGGGAAAATATTCTATGGTTGGGAACACTTGTTTCTCAAATAGCAATGTGCAAAAATATCTAAAAATCGAAATTTATTATTGATAATCTTTAAAAGATTTAGGTTATCAAAAGGCTCGACCCTATTCGCAGACCTCTTTAGAAATACCGGTTCGAGTGGCAAATTTTTAACGGATTGGGTTCGGTTTGTATCTCTGGTTATATTAGCAATAGAAATTCTTCGTTGATAAATTCTTTGGTTTATTGTATTTAAAACAAGTTAACAAAACTTTTTCTTTAAATTCTGAGAAATATCATTGCTTAGTGATGTTAAACTGCTTGGGTAAACAGCTCGATTAAGGTTTTAGCCAAAATAATATAATATAAACCTCAAGATTTGTAGATCCAAGTTTTTCTGCCACCTTATTTTAGTTAAAAGTTCAAACGGGTCATATTTAAAAATACCATTAGCCAAGTTGTTTAGAAAAATAGATATATTAAAAGTTAAACATATCACCTTTTTTTATAGGTTTGATTCAAAAAAAAAAACAATTATCATTAATTTGTTAATGGAAATCACCTTTTTCTTTAATATGCTTTTAATATTAATATGCCGAATATGAGATAAGTGCTGGCTGTTTTTTTGACCCCTCATTCATATTGGCGCGGTTTTTCTATATACTTCTGTGAATGCTCGCTAACTGTGAATGCAGGGTTAGTTAATGGTGATAATTATTTAATTTTAGAATTAATCTAATAAAAATATATTTTATTCTTACTTATATTTTCCTAAAATTAAATATTAATACATTTTTGATCTTGGATTTTAACGAAGTATTCTAGTGAGCTTTTATTTGTAGCCGCGACGCATGTTTATACGATACTTGAAGGCTCAAGATGGATTTAATAGTTTAGAGAAGTAATTTCTTGGATAATATTATTTTTTTTGACCACCATAGTTGAGAAAAGGAGTAACGGCATTTCTGATGTGATGTTTTGTTCCATATAATCTGTTGAACGAATCTCAGAGTGTTCTTTCTTTTCTAACAATCGAATTTATCTGGATTTGGTTAGATTATGGGTAGAGGTTCTATTTGAAATGTGTGTCCTTCATATTATTTATGTGTTATCTGAGCTGAAAGGTTTTATTTTCAAAATCGTCAGGGTTGTAGTAAAGTTTTTTTGTCTCCGATCCATAAAAGAAATATAAAGATTTAATTTTATATAGATTTAGTAGATTTGATTTTCTAAGGACCAATTTAGTCTTTTTTAAATGTACTTTTACATGCGTGATCACAATAAATAACGAATTTAATCGATATGGTGAGTGTTTTAGAAACAAGTAAAAAAATGAATTACTTTCCTTTATAATCACAACTTCATTTTCGCGAGAATTTGAATTATGCCCTTAATATATAAATTTAGATATTATATTATTTATTTAGCGATGGCAGAAAAGGTACTTTCGACTTGGAAATCAAAAGCTATATTATGCTAAGGATGAAAAGGTATATTACTGATTACTTATCATAAGTATTTGTGATACGTTTTCATAATGCTATATTTAAAAATGTAATTTAGAGGTTACTCTTATAAAATCCAAAATTTTGACAATAATCTTAGACAGGCCTGCCCCCATGGTCACATTTACTAAATATTAATTATCTGCGCTACAAATGGGTAAGAAAGTATTTGAACTGCTATATAAAAGATGTGCTGATGTGTTGTAAAAAAATCTTTTAATCGTTGGCATTGAAGGGGATAATTTTTTTTCAAAATTTGACAACAAATTCATTAAAATCTAACTTATTGACATAAAAAAATAATGACCTCCCTATTTCTATTGGTAATAAGGAAAAATTAGTCCCTTTGGTATCTCTTAAAATTTTTTAAACGTATTCATTATATATATAAAGATCTGCAACCTGAAAGTTTTAAAGTAAAAAATGCAATATTTGAAACGCGGGAAAATCCAGGCTGGCTGGGTTGTTAAAAACTTATAAAAATGGCCAAATTTTATAAACTCTGGTTTTTTGTACACTCGTGACAAGTCTGTAAATGTGAATCTCTACGAGTTTCTTATATATTATAACATAGCAATTAACTTATTTGGTCGACAAAATATATTGTAATTTCATTATTCTACAAATAAAAAAAATATAACATAACTATAAGTACAACAAAAAATAAATAAAGAAAACCTTTCCAATATATTATTGATAGTAATTGTATAAGATGTGAATATTTTATTTTAAAAGCCATTTAATGGTCTTCCTCTTTTCCTATTTTTTTCTCCGATAATTTATCACTGTTTTTTTAAACAAAATAAAAGACATTTCTGTCATTTTCCTATTATACAATAGTATATATTTTATTAAAAATTTCTTTATACACTTGATATTTTTATTTAAAAATTTAATTCTTCTTGACAGTAAATGTAAAAATAAAATATCCCTTTAAATTTATTAAAATATTAAAAAAAAAATTTGAATGTTTTGAAAAAATCACAGTCCTCAATATTTGACGAGATCGATTTGAAGCACGTCAGCGTGGCTGAAACCAGCACCAAAAACTTGAAAAATAGCTTCTCGGTATATTTAAATACAATATATATTTTTTAAATTTTAGAATATATTTATAATAAGTTTAAAATCAAAGCATTCTATCTCTTTTGATTTTGAAATATAGGAAAATTCGCTTTCAAATAATTAGAGAAACTTGGGGACAATATTATAGGTTCAGATGTTTAGATTACTTTAAATTAGATTAATTTTTTAAATGTTTATAATATACACAATACAAACTATAATCTAGAGATAATTTCCCTTTTTTTCTTACAGTCAAAAATTTTTTATTTCTAAATTAGGACTAAAGCCATAGCAGAGCATATAGCTTTTGAGTGTTTGTGAAATTGTGGTACTCATTATATTTAAAAAATTAAATTATAAATTATGCAGAGTAGTTTTAAATATATTTTAATATCGAATACGAAATATCCAAATATAACGGTGTTCTACAACGCGTTCGGGTTTGGTACCTTTCAACATTATCTGCTTAAATGTTATAACGCGCTGGTATATGACCGTAGTTTAAGGAAGGAGGATATATTTTACAAAAATTTATTTCTAAATTATGTCTCATTTAATACAAAACACATTTTTAAAACGAAATCTATTGAAGAAAAAGTTTAGATTTTTAATATTAAATTATTGAAATTTTTCATAAATTATTTTATATTACATTACATTAACTAATTTAATATTTAAGAAAGAAGTCTTTAAAAAGAAAGAAGTTTAATGCATTAATATAATACATTATTAATATCATATTATAATACATTTTTTTTACAATATTTTATTAAATTTGATACTACCAATTAAGAAATTTATTTAAAAAAAAATTTTGCCTTACTATTTTCCATTTTTGATACTCGTACAAAATTAAAATATACTGTATAATTTATAACATGAGATGGGTATAAAAAAGTATTTAAAAATTACTATATAAAAACCTAATTAAAATATATTGTATATAACATGAAACTAGTAACAAAAATAGTTAAAAATTTTACAATAATATTTGCCGACTTTTTATTGTAAAACGCGGTCATAATTAAAGTATGACGAAATGATGGATGAAGCAAGAAATCTCATGTTAAGAGATTTTACAACTTTTCTTATTCACTAGAGTGACTCCATTGCTTTTATTGGGGAATTCGGTTGAGGTAAGGGATTTGGATTTTACTGAGTTAACCTTTTTTTTAGCCTATACAATGGTCTGATATTTTTGATCAGACAGGCTAGACCTGGGCTAACGATAATTATAAACTAACGCAATTATAGGAACTATGTTGAAGCCTAATCGCATGCCATTCATTGCCATTTATAAAATTTTAATGGAAGTACTAGGGAGGACATCGAGCCTTTCATTTCCAATTTTATATAATTGAAAAGCCCTTAATAGCCGTGGGTCAGACGCATTAGCGGACACACAGTGTCTAAGGAATATAAAATAATTGATTAAAATTAGCATATTCATATTTTTTTGTTAAAGTTTGAAATATCATATATGTTGTACACAATAAATTTTTCAGGGGCGAAATATCGATTCAATTTTGATAATACATCAAATTAATTCTGCAGAGTTTAATTAGATTAATTCGAGCTCTCAAAAGATGCATAACGCTATTCGATAGTGAAATAATTTTGAATTTGTTGGTGGACAAAATTTTCACCCGAAATTCGCCACCCGATATTATAAGATTCTAATTTCAGTTATCGCACAAATTTAGTTAGAATCAAAATTTTGCCCTTAGGAATTCTATCCTCTTTTTTAGATTCTAAAAAAGTGTTCCGGAGGGAAATAATTTAATAAACCCTAACTAAACCTTGGGAAAATTCTTAAAAATAGCTGACCCATTCTTTATATATACAGAAATTTTAGTCGTTTTTTAAATCGCTTTTATTTAATTGTAAGGCCATTTCAATTTTTTTTGAGAATTGAGACACTTTATTATTTTATCCTTGGGGAGTTACTAAATTGCTATTTAATTCCCCTCTTTTTTTAATCAATCTTTTTATATCACATATTTTTTCCCAATTTCTTGAAAAATTTTGAAACCTTTTTAAAATATTTTTAACCTTAATGACCATAACTTAACACTTAACGGTTTGGGCTTCTGAAAAAAAATTCCTTTATTAATTTTAAATCTTGTGTTTAATGTATAGGTCTAAATTTGATTTTTTTATTTTTACTTCTCTAAAAATATAGATATTGAAAGCTTTTTTTAAACTCTTATTTTTACGAATAATAAAGTTACATTACAGTAAAACCTGTATAATTCAATCTCTTACCGGGCAACTCCCTAATTTGATTAAAATTTTGAGTCCTAATCAAATTCCCTTTAACTAAAGTATTTGATTATAAATTGACTTGGTAAATTGGGTAACTGTCTAAGTTGGGCACAAATCTTGGTCCCTCTAATGCCCAAATTAGACAGGGTTTATTGCACCTCAATCTATTCGATCGATACTTTGGGTAAATTGCTAATAGTTATATATATATATATGTAATCGTCTAACGTAACCTTAAAAAATATTTGTTATCTTGTTTAAACGAATCTATGCAGAATGTAAAAGATGGCTGGAGATAGCATTTCCCCATTTTTTTTACAGAAATTGCGTTTATTTTTTACCTTGTTACTTGGCAAGGTCACCTTTCCACCAAATTACACTGATATAATTACTTTCTCTCTATTGTGTAGATTTTTTAAAATATATAACAATAATAATAATTGTCCTAAAAATTTTGAACCTGAATCGAATATTTACAGTCTTTTCGATTATGATACAAAACAGAACACACTTCTTCTCCACTTAAAATAAATATTATTTTATAAAGAATTTTAAATTTTATGTTTTTCCCCATGTTTATTCTATTAATTTTTGTGGTTTTTATTTTATATTAACCTTTAATAAAGCAAAAAAAAATAACTACCTGCCAAATTTTAACCCTTTAGTACTCCCGATCTCCACCAATTGCAAATTCTTATATCAATTTATCTATCATTTTTAGCAAAAAACTCCCAACATAGAAATCATTTTAGTAGTATATAATTACTTGCAGGTTTTAATTACTTAGTAGCAGGCACCTCCACACCCCTATGTCAATGACAATATTACTCCCCCCCTCCTACTTGAAAAATGGTACTACCCTCCTACATCTTTAATATCTTTTACCCCCCCCCCCCCCCCCAAAGAAATCAAAATTAGCAAGAAAGATAAGAATTTGTAAAAAATAAAGGAAATCAAAATTAGCCAAACCATCACTTACCCCTATATTTTCATCTGCCTACGGGTCGTCAAAATTAAACCATTTTAGGGGCCACTAAATTTTCTTTCTTCTCCATTTATTTGAATTTTTCTCTTTTTTTGCTAATTTGGATTTCTTTAAGGCTTAGGTAAATTATTGGTTTTAAAGGGCAACTGCCATATTCGTCCTGGGCCGCCAAAAATTTCACAAGGATCATGTTTTAAATTGGACATAACAAGCAAATAATAAGTATTTAAAAGCCATATTTAAGATTTTAAAATTTATACTTATACTAAATTTATGTGTTTTTAAAAATTTCCGAACTATAATTAATATTTATAATAGAGATCTGCAAAAGTAGGGCTGAGCTCGGGCCTAATATTTTTAAAAAAAATTCGGGCCGGGTCGGGTCGGGCCTGGGAAATTTTTTTAAATATATCTAAATTTATCAATTTTATATTGAATTTTTTATGTAAAATAAAAATATTTTATTTATAGAAACTAGACATCATATAACATATGTCTTTTATTTTGTAATTATAAAAATTAATTTCTATATTTAAATAAATTTGGGCCGGGCCGGTAAATTTAAAAAAAAATCGGGCTCGAGGCGAGCCGGCAAAACTTTTTTAAAAAAAATTTCGGGCCGGGCCGGGCTTGAAAAATTAGGCCCGATGCAGATCACTAATTTATAGTATATAAATAATAAGATATTTTTTTTTGACTCGTGAAGATATATATTTTTTTTGATATGTTAAATTCATCTTTTTCATTGGAATTATATATAATAAAAAAAAGTTTTAATTAATTTATTACGAAGGTAAAAGTATTTTATATTAATATTATTTGGTAACACAAAAAAAGATTGTAGCAATTAATATTAATTAAGTAACATAATTAAAATACAACCAAAAAAATTATAACCAATTAATGTGCTAAAATTATTTTCTTTTTTATTACTTATACATTTTATAAGTGGCAATAGCATTAATATGGTTTATTCAACGTAAATATATATTTTTATTTTATTATTTTTAAGAATGTATTTTATTTCATTTATAGTTAAGGTATATTGACGATAATTATGTAATATCGCAACACAGGTCTTAAGAAGCCACCCTCAAATTGTGGAGATGGGGCTAAGGAGAAAATGGGAGGGGGGGGGTGCTAAGATTTTTGCGGTATGAATCTGATCGTAGCTTTTCTAATATTTAATTTTTTATAGAATCTCACATTTGCCTATCAAAGTTATAAAATTTATTGTGCGTAAAGAATTGTGTTGGAAATGCGAATAGATTTATTAAAATTAAAAGTAGGAAAGGGGGAGGGGGTAGTTTAACATTTGCAATTTTTTAAAAAATAGAAACGAGTATTTTAAATGAGGAATATCAAATATATATGCTATATCTTTTTTTTTAGAAATTCTATTTTTATTTTAAGTACATGGGGTGGGTTTCAAATTTTTTGATGCACTTCAGGTTATTCTTATTTAGGAAAGAAACCTATGAAGGATTATTCCCATATAATTTTATAAGCACAATATTTTCTTCAAATAAGAAATATTATCTAAATATACCACAGAATATTGTCAATAATATGAAATGAGTTATCGAAGAAAAGTTTTTTTGTAATATTTCAAAGTATTATTTATTATGTTGCCCAGTTTATCAAGTCAAGATATATTCAATATTATAAAATATTAGTACCAACATTCAAAAAAATATATAAGTGCTCCATTTATCAAGGCATGATTAATAAAAATTAGAGAAAAAAAAGTAATTCTAAACTAAAATTTGCAAAAATTCAAGGGGTTCCCCAAAATTTTTAGCTGCGCTCCTGCCACCTCTCCCCTTAAGGCATGGTACCAAAAAATTTTTTTTAAATTTTGGTAGTCGGACATCAAGATTTCAAACTAATAGATTTTGCTTTATTAAACTACCTTGCCATTATGATGATTAAGCTCAGAACGAACAAATGATGGATAAAATTTTTAGTAAAAATATTCTCTTTCATTACATGAAATATTTATCGATAAAATATTCAAAATTATTCGGAAACATGTTTCTTTCTATTTAAAATTTTATTTTCACAATCTATCATCTTATGCAAAATTTGATCAATTTTTTCGATCTTGAAAACTAAAAGAATTTTTTTATTGAATCGAATATTTGATGAGTCGTGCGAATACGAATAAGCACTTATTTAATTCGACATTCCAAACGAATCCTATTCTTGTATGCCTTTGATACATAGGAGTATCCATAATTTTGTTAACTTTTACCAATTTTTCTTTTAAATTCTTCTGTAGTGGGAGGGGGGGGGGAGTATAGGGAGAAAATTTATTATAAAATTATATTTGATAAATAATATATAATATAAAATTTTAAATATAATTTATTTATTAATTATGATATATTACCTTATCAAACCAAACAAAAAAAAACATTCATCGCGAAGTATAGATTTCTAAATTAAAATCTATCTATTTTTTAAAAAAAAAACTCATTCAATTTTTATATAATTAATTTGTCAAATAAATTGAATTTTTTCATTATATAAAAATAATTGTCCCCTTATCATTTATATTTTTACAAAATAATTGAAAAATAACTATTAGATGTAATTAATCATTATCACAAAAAAATTATTTACCTTTTAAGATAATTACGCCATCTAGATCGATAGTTATAGCCACGGAAAGTAGGAAAGAAATGGAAACATGGATGAATCTCTTCAAAAATATTAACGTAAAAACTAACAATCATGTAAAGGATTAAATAATAATTATATCTAATTAAAAAAAAAGATTATTTTTAAAGTTAAGACTTTTACGAAAAATGTAAAAGAAAGAAGGAAAGAACGAAAGAATAAATGAAAAAAGAAAGGAATGAATAATTAAAGAAAATAAGAAATAAAGAAAGAAAAGAATTAATTGATTATTTTACATGATCATACTTTTTTAAAACATTTTTTGAGATTAACTTTTGATTTCTCGGAATTCGACCAACAAAATAACTTTAATTTATTCATTTTATTATTATTTCTCATGTTGGTATAATTTGATATACTTATATATCGATGTAAACTATTAAATTTTCTTAAAATAAAAATGAAAGTAAATTTTTCACTTGAAGAGAAATTCATTTATTCCCGTTTTGATGCAACCAATTATGTATAAACATTTTTTGACATGTCTCAATTAATTATAATGCGACTACATTCGCTATTTATTGATTCAAATTTGTAATAAATATTTGGAAAATTTTTAAAATACTTGCAACGCATGACAATTACTACAGATTCAGAGTGCGCATTAGTTTTAAAAAAATACTTTCCAAGAGACAAATTTTTTGAGTCCCGACTACTAGACTTTAATTTCGAATAAATATTTAATTAACTTACGGGGTTAAAATAAAAATTAATCATAAAGTAATGAAATATGATTACAAAATAAAATTTAGTTTTGTCACATAAGATTTAGCACTTTAGATATTGATAAAAATATTGTAATAATAATAGTGGCAATCATATCAGATTTGTAAACCGGTTCGGTGGGTTGTCTTCCTTTATATTCAGGATCCTTTATTGTTACTATGAAATATTTAGTTATTTAAAGCTATCATTATAAATGAGTAAAAAACGTTTATTAAAAATATTCGAATGATATCAACATTAGAACAAAATTACCTTCAACTTACAACCACAACTAATTGATATTAATTATGGATGATAAAAAAGAAAATTAAAAAGGAAAAATGGAAGGAAAAAAAAAGGAGAGAAAGAAAGATAAATAAAGGAGACAAGAAAAGATGGGGGAAAAATTGAAGTTTTTTTATTATTTAAGGAAACCATAACACCTATCAATATGACCGGTCAACACAATTGGTACAACTCGTCTCATGCCCGACCAACCTATTGCAACATATGTCGAGAAGCTTTATCAGGCGTTACCTTCCATGGCTTATCTTGCGAAAGTATATTCAATACTATATAATATATGCTTCCAACACTAGGCAACAAATGCAAACTTATCCAAACCGGAACATACTTTTTTTGCATACTCTAAATAACTTGGCATATATTTTACATTTTCAAAGAAAGAAAGAAATATAGCAAGCAAGCATATTATGGCTATTTAAAACCATTATTATTTCCTTAAAATTATTTATTTATTTTTATTGTTTTCTACATTTATTCATTTTATACCAATAAAGTTTGTAAATTCAAGTGTCATAAAAGATGCGTCATAAAAGCTATCAACAATTGTAAATGGACAACATTAGCTTCTATGAGAAAATACATCATTGAAGATGCTGACAATGTATTATTATACATTATACATTTTGTCGAGATATAAAATGAAATGAAAATCACTAATTGCTTTGTCCTTATCATAGATAAATGATGATTTTATTTTGAGAAATTTTTTTTTAAGACTTGAGCCCGATCCAAAAATTTTTAAGCCCAAACCCGGCTTCAGGCCGACCTGCAGGGCTCTCTTTACAAGTTACCCTTATTTTAGAAATTTATCGAGTTACTTTTAAGTTATGCTAAAATTATAAAAGAAAGTGTGTAAAAACTTTGTTAATATTTGTCTGAAAACTCAGCTGAAATTGATCAAATTATTTAATTTATAAAATTTAAAAAAAAAATAACGCGTTCCTCTTTCCTTTTCAATAACATAACGAATATTCTTTCCTCTTTAGATGGAAGCTTTACTTTACAGCGCTACTTATTTATTAAAATATTATCTTATAAATAAATGAATAAGTTTTAATCTGATGCTATCGATTAATTTCTTTATTAAATTATTTGTAATCCTAGTTTTATAAATGCCTTTATCTGATACAATTTTTAAATTAAGTTAAACACGTGTAATAAATATTATAACTTTATTTATAAAATTAACCAATTAAAGAATCTTATAATGCCTCACCAATGGGTAGAAGGTAATTTACCCGTTCATTCAAAATGTTCCACATGCAACAAAAATTGTGGGAGTGTCTTAAGATTGCAAGATTGGAGATGCTTGTGGTGTCGATATACGGTTCATTTTAAAAAAAATCATTTATTAAATAAAATCGTTCATTAATAGTCTTGCAATGCAGTTTATAAATTATTTAAGATAACTTCTCATTAAATTTAAAATAAAAAAATTGAAATGGTTTTTTTTAATTAAAAAAGTTATAGATATTTTTTAAGTAAATTTGCACATGATTGTGGAATAGGAAGAAAGAAAGCATCAATAAAAACATTAATTGTAAGAAAACAATTGATTCAACAGAAAATTAATAACGATGAAAAAAATTCTCAAGCTATAGTTAGTTAAATTTTCTCATTCCCTTGAATTATTTAACAATATATAATTTATATACATTGCTTTCAAACTTGGTAATCCACCTAATAAATCTAATTAAAATATAGCCCAATTTAAACCCTCTAGCCTCCCCCCCCCCAGGCAATGACAATGAGTTCCCCCCATATCGAATATAAATCAATTCAATTTATAAAATGGATGCTATATGTTTATTGAGTGGATACACACCCCCCCTCACCCGCCTCCCTTTTAATGACTATTCGTTCACCCACCCTGTTAAAAGTCCATGTCATGACCTAATTTACTTTACTAAAAGTTTTTTAAAATAGAAAGAAGAAATTCTCTAAATATGAAGAACGGGAGGAATTTTTTTTTGAAGTTTAAAACTTTGCGCCCATGAGTTTAGTTTTACATGTATAAATAAATTGTTCTACTCATATTCCACCCCTTCTTCCCTCATCATTTTCTCTTCATCCCTAGATTCACAATAATTGCAAGCATTTGCTTCCCGAAGCCTGCACTTTGGGCCCGTATAAAATGTCGATCGTGCAACCTATATATATGCACGGAGGTAGCCAAGAACTCGACATGTGCGATGATTTGGACGACGAGTTTCATCATATCAGTCATCGAGATGAGAATTCCAATCCGAACAGTAATGCCAATAACAACTCAGAATACACTGGAGTCAGTCCGTTGATAGTGTTCGTCAATTCAAAGGCCGGGGATAAACAGGTTATTAATACCGTTTTCAATTTATCTTTTTATTTGAATATTATAAAAGGTGTAATTAGCTATATTGTTGAATAATATTTGAGATATCTGACTCAACAACTTAAAACCAGCGACGTATGGCACTCAAAGCGTTTTCTTTAAACATACCTAAATAAAAAAATTTCACTTACTTCTATATTATAAGAAATTGCACAGATAGTAGTTAAAACTAGCGAAAATTTAAATGATTATGTAATTTATCAGGGAATCAAGATAATTCGTAGGTTTAAACAATATCTCAACCCTATTCAAGTATTCGATTTGCTAAACGGTGGACCTGTATTTGGGTTAATTATGTTTTATGTCATATCTACTAATGAAATATTTATAAACATAATTTTAATTTTTATGCCTAGGTTTTATTAATAATTGCTTTAAATTCCCGACCAAATAGGAATTTTGACAAATCAGAGAATATTAAAAATTTAAATCCAGGTCAAAGATTTTAATTTTAAAATCGAATCGCCCACCTCCAATAATTTGGTTATTAGAGCATTCTTTAATTATAATTAGGCAATTGAAATCGTAAATTATAAACTTATATTAAATAAGTTAACTATTTCGGCTAAAATGCTATTCTTGAATTACAAAGTCATCATTTGTTTACAATTTTTATAACAATATTTCTAATATATTTGTGAAAACAAATTTTCTTTAATGATACATAATTATTTTAAAACATTTTAATTGTTTAAAATTTCCTTTAATATTCTTAAACAAATTATTTATACTTTTGAGGATACAGCAACAAATAATAATTATTAAAACACTAAGCTGAATTATATTCAACAAATATATATATGTATCATTTAATTTATTGGAAGGAGCAAAATCCTTTTCGAATTTAAATCTGAACATTCTCGATTTTTGGAAAATTTTTATAGAGAGATAAACTTCATCAGGGTATCGAACCGCAAATGCACCACCATTACATAACCAAACCATTATAAAAAAATCTCATATGGAGATAACCTAACCGTTATAAATAGGTTCAAACCGGTTCTTTTTTAAAATCATATTTTTATTTATTACAAAATTGAATAGCATAATTTAAAATACTGTTATTTTATTTTAATGGAATTTATATAAAAAAAATTAGTATAAATATATAAGGTTTTTAATGTTACTTAATTTGTTATTTCTTATTCTTATTTTATAAAAATAATAAAATTCAACTTTATTTTTTTTTATTCTTAAGTTTTTTAAAATTAGAATATTCGGTTATAAAAGCCATAACGAACGGAAAAGAATCAATATGAATTTCTAAGCCGATATAATTAAAAGACCAAAATTGAATAAACCGATATAAGATGTTAAATTAATAATCAGAATGGAACCCAGCCGTTATAATTAACGATTCGACACCCTGGTTCCCACATATACCTCCTCTATGATAGTTTATTTAATGGCATTAAATGACTTACAAATTATTCCAGATTAAAACTATTTCGTAAATTCGAGCCCTTTCGTATTCTCATATGTGGAGGGGATGGCAGTATTAGCTGGGTATTGAATGAAATTGACAATTTACGCTTGTTACCCAAAGTATAAAAATTAATATGGATCGATAATTAAATATATATTCATTTTTTTGAAGTACAGGTCACTATTGTGCAGAGTAGCACCGATTTTATAACATATCCACACAAAACATATGTATCCATCTTTTTAAGTTTTAGCGTTAAACATTCCTGACCCTAATTTCAAATTGCAGATAATAAATTTGATATTCTGCAGATACCAATTTTTTCTAACCAATATCTATGCTTCTATAATCTGATTTTTTTAAAATATAATTTGGTATCAGACAATAGTATAGGTAAAAAAAATCAAAAGTATTTGTCTAATATTGAATATTATGTAGCATCGGTGCATATCTGCTACGAACGTTTCTTTCCCTTATAAGAAAGAAAGAAAGGGGAAAAAAGAAACAAAGAAAAAATTTTAATTTATATTTCATATAAAAAAAATTCCAGTGTCAAGTCGGCCTATTACCCTTAGGAACTGGTAACGATTTATCTCGTGTGTTAGGCTGGGGTAGCTCGTTCGATGACGACATACCCTTAAGTACACTCATCGAGAGATTTGAGCGAGCTTCTGTTAAAATGCTAGATAGGTATTTTAATTATTATTTAATATAACTTGTGATCCATAATTTCACTAATTAGAGTGTTAGACAGATTACACAATTCAGAAAATCGTTTTAGATTTAAAAAATAATAATTTTAAAACTTTGAGCTTTCAATATTTTAAGGTTGGTTTGTACCGAGATTGGTGAGCTACCTTAATTTATAATAACCCTATAACCGAAATCCTATCTATTCGTCCATTTTATAGCCCCTTCAAAGGGTTTTAAAGAAAATAAAATATTTTATAGAGATTTTTGTAAATGACATATTTATTTAATTGTTTTATAAAACTATATTTTTTTGAAAAATTAATTTATTATATATAATATATGCAACAGGTGGAGCGTGATGGTTTACCAGGACGATAATGACACTGGTCCATTATCCCCCATATCACCTGCTCCTTTCTCTTTGGAACCCCCTCCTTTTTCCTGTCCTTCCCCTTCATATCCTACTTTATTACAACGCACCAAATTGGAAATATTCTCGAATCTCTCTACCTCTGCCGTCCTGCTATCTCAATTCTCTCATTCTCTCAAACTAAATAACGAATTTCTTCGCGGTTAGAAATTCTAAAAGAATTGAATTGAAAATTCTATATTATTTTTTTGTTAAGTCGTTGAATATTTCATTTATTTTAAAATTGATTTTATTTAGCCATTAAAATAATTATCGATTTGAAGCAATGCTTTATGATCAATTGCAAAAGATTTAGGAAAAAAGTACTTAAGAGCCTATAAATAGGTTTGGCATGACTAGAAATACAATTTGTTAAATCTTGAAAGAGTCATTAGTTAATTTCTTCTTTCTATTTTTATTTTAAAAAAATGTTTCGTCGCTAGAGTTACTTAGAGTGGGTGTAACTAAAAGAAAAATATACGATATTTTAAAAAGAGTACTTATTGCGTTCCATATTTATTTTTAGATTTCTTTTTATAAGATGCAAATTTTGTTTTCATATATAATTTAATTTGCTAATAAAGCAACCAGATAATATTAATTTATATTAATATCTATCATCAAATAATAAAAACATTCTCGTTTGTTAAATAGAACATATCTCCATAAAAGACGGCGAAATAAATGAGCGGAAATCGATGATATCGGCAAAGGACAAAAAATACGGTATCATCGATAAAGACGTTACGCTCACGAATACCGAGAATGATGTTGAGGAGTATGATGGAAAGAAGGAAAAGAGCGATTATGATAAACAGATAGATTCGTTGATTGAATGCTGCGATTTTATGAGCCAGGAGCTTAAGTACATGGCGGGAGACGATGAAAATTACGATAGTGCTTCTGCGGAATACGAATGTAATGGGGAAACATTAATTTTTTTAAAAAATAATATATATTAAGAATTTGATGAAAAGATCTTAGAAGATAAATTATGACAGATTTTTTTATTTTAAAAATAAAATGGTTTTGGTTACAGGAAATATATTTAATGCTCGTATTTTCCTCACCATACCATCCTCTCGGAAAAAATGTTTTTTTTTCTTGTCAAAGGAGGTCGCTATAGAGATGTAATAACCTTTGAATGGGGTTACCTAAAATATTTTTTTACAAATAACGTTAACAGATACTTTTAATTTCGCCAACACAACGAATCAAATTCAGTCTATCGAGGATTTACGTGCCAAATTGCGTGACATAATTGCCAAATTCGAAAATATTTTGGCCAAAATTGAAGATTTGCACTTTTCAACTTCTAAATGTAAGAATTACGCAACATTTTCTTGATGAATAGGTTGCGATTGATCTTGAATTGTTTTCAAAATTTAATTGTCAATGAGATTATTTATCTTTGTTCTGTTTTCATCAAGATAATATATACTAATAAAATGCACTGAATTAGGTTTTCACAACGTATAAAAGAGTTAGAATCCCCTACCGGACTTGGTGGTAAATAAAAAATAAAATACCTGGTATTGATACCATTGAAAAAATTAGATCTGAGTCTGACGCATTTAAAAATTTTAAATAATAAAATATTTTTGTTTCCCCATTTGCTAGTAAATCGATCGTTTGTAATTTATATTTGAATCATATAGAAAATTTTATTTAAAAATATATATAAGTTTTTATAACTGTTATAAATTTAACTTAAAATGTAATGATAGTGTAAAACTTCCGTAGGATTGCCATAGGACTTTTTCTTATTGGTTAATTTAGTCAATATATGTGTTCGTTTGATAATATTTATAATTGTGGAAGGGACTTATATAATAGGTCTAGTGAAGTCGAGTTGATTATTTTTGCGGTTTAATTATATATAAAAATTTTACATAGAAATATCAATAAAAACTTTAATAATCACTACAATTATTTATAAAGGTGATTCCCCTTTCTATATTCAAACGAACCAAAACTTTCGCTCAAATTTAGCGCAAAAGGCTCCCTCGATAGTCATAAACAAACCCACTGTAAATTACCCGGACGAACCTGTAAACATCGACACGACTATAAGTTACATAGATACAAACGATGATATCGAGACCAAAAATTTGCATCATATTGATAATGTGACTAACTTAGATACTAAAAATTTTGAGGACTTCAACCGTAATCTATACGATGGTCAATCCTTATCATTCATTCATCCGGATGATATATGGGTACCCAGAAATCTCAATGACAAAGAATTAGAGACGTGCAAGATAGATGTAAGTCTGGTGGAAGGAAAGATAAATATTAACGTAATTAAAAATAAATTCAATATTGCTTATACACGCGAACTTACATTCTTTTCACCATTGCAACTAAATTATCAGATATTATGCAGTGGGCATACCTAGCATATAGGCTTATGATATTTCTTATACACCTTCATTGTTAAAAAATAGCTAAATGCCTTTTGGATCTCATATTTGGTCTCTTTTCTTAATATAACGCAAAATTTATTTATTATGTATATATTTTTTTAAATTCAAGTTGCTACCCTCCGAAAACTCTGCCCTAAGCTTGCATCCACCTTTATCCGCACAAGGCTCTAATAATTCATCTGACGCAACTATCATACCAGCTAATCATCAAATTCATAATAATCAATCAGATGAAATTAACCAGACTACACCCGTTAATACTAACTCCTTAGACAAAATTTCGAATCATATCATAAATTACGATCATTTCTATAGTTGTCCCGATACCTTATCCTATAATGCTAAGCAGGCAATGATAAAATTAGACAACAAAATTTTGAATCAAGCACATTCTCAAGGTACTTTATCGATGGATAGAGATGACAATGATGAAGCGGTCTGGGAGTTTTTAAAGGATAATAGTGCTTCTAACGACGAAAATGGCCCCCCTCTCCAGATAATTGACCCAAAACGCGATAACGAACACGAAATTAAAGAGCGGAGGAGGAAAAGAAATATGGTCCTATCTTCTTCTTCGTTCGAAGATATGATGTTGTTTTCTGATGAAAATATTAACGATAATCGGGATATCGCTAACGTAGATGATGGAGGTATGATCACGTCTGCAAAAAATAATCTTACGACGGAAGGAACTAAAATAACAGGAGAGGATTTGTTCTCCACAAAATCTCTCATGTTGCCATCCGATAAAAATAGCGCATTGACCGGGCTTCCTTTCTCAAAGAGTAGAACACCTTCCGGCTCAAACTATGACGGAGATGCTTCTGAACAAGGAGAAGATAATGATTCAGTATTTTTGAGCCAAAAACCGTCTGCCAAATTTAATTTCGACCAGAAATCCGATGATTATGACGAAATGCATTATGTCGCCACTTCCATCTTAGAATTCAGGGCTTCCTTGCTTATTCAATTGGATAGTTTGAAACGGAACATACAAAAACTTGACGCCTTAATAACCGGCTCTAAAAATGGTAATTATTATAGCAAAAGTGAAGACGGGCTACGTGATATGCCTTTCAATAATGACTCAAATAAGAACATGATCATACCACACGTATTTATACAAGATTTGTCCTCCACCGCCTCACTCTCCCCCTCTCCAGATATAATCAACGTTCACAAATCGTTGAATATCGCCCGGGAATCAATATCGAATGCTAACTCCAATACTTCGGGTCAAACGGTAGATACGAATCACTTGAGTGCGAAACTTATGTTTTCCTCTTCCTCCGTTTCATCTTCCATAACGTCTCTTAATTCTTCGTCTTCCTCTGCTACTAACGTCAATAAGATTACCCAGGAATCATCTCACGCTTCCAACCCGCACTTATTATACGTACCTGGCACACATATAAACTACGTTTCTCTTTGCAACGAAAAATCAGCAGAAAACATGTATGATAGCACAGAAGGGGTTGAATCTATGGGACGAGCAGCAACTGCTTCCGATCCGGAATACAGAGACAGAGGATTGAGATCTCAAAGCCTGAAGCCGGATATGACAATGGTTCACGATGCTATCAGTGCCGAAAACCTTTTACAAATCCAAAGTCCTATTAAATGCAAAAAGAAAGCCAGCACAGTATCTTTAATGCTCTTTGATCAAAAAATCAATAATAATAACGCTTTTTTCAAAGATAGGGATAAGAATAAGATTACCGTAGATTACGGATCCGCATCGGATAAAAAGAATCATAGCCATAGAGATAATATCATCAGACGCTGGAGCAAGACCTCCTACCATACCTTGTTCCGATTTCCTCACATAGGACCGGCCAAAATTTCGGGAAGATTGAGCCCCAAAACACTCAGATCAGGGTTATTATTTTCTTCCGAATCTTTCGCTCAACCGCTAGTCGTTCCGGCATCGTCCCCTGACAGCGGCAATTTGAGTATTAGTAAAGGTGATACCGTATACTCATCTTCCTCATCCGTGACGGATCGCGCAAAATATTACAACTATTATAATTATTATACGCGCAAACGTAACTCTAGGCCAATTGTTCAAGATGATCAGATGGACGAAACGACCTCCTCCATAGGTGGTAACTCGTCCTATCAAAACTCTTCCAAACAAAAGCCAACTAACACCAGCGATAAAAGCGGAAACAGTAGTGTCATCGGGGATATACCCAGGATCAATTATTCTGCCGTGAACGAAAGCTTATGTGCATCTATCACTGGAAATTTGATAGGACAAGTGCTGCTGGCAAATGCCGACGCGCTGTGCGCTCCTGCTCTTCCATTACTTGATCACGACACTTTCCCATTACACGTTATGAAGGAGAAATGTGTCATGAACAATTATTTTGGGATTGGGCTCGATGCCAAAATATCTTTAGACTTCCATAATAAGCGGGAAGGACACCCCGACAAATGCAGTCGGACGAGAAACATGATGTGGTACGGCCTTTTAGGCACTAAGGAATTACTTCAAAATACTTTCAAAAATCTCGAACAAAAGGTGCATTTGGAGTGCGATGGCATACGGATTCCGTTACCAAGTTTGCAAGGTATTGTCATTTTGAATATATCTAGTTATGCCGGCGGGACTAACTTCTGGGGTGGCAAAAAGGAAGACGATATTTTCCTGTCACCTTCTTTCGATGACAAAATTTTAGAAGTAGTGGCAGTTTTCGGTAGTCACCAGCTGGCTATGAGTAAAGTTCTCAACATTCAACACCACAGGATCGCCCAATGTAGGCATGTCAAAATTACTATCACGGATAGCCATCACCTTGCTTACAATGAAAGCAAGGTTTCTGGCGAAGAGGGAAGTAAAATCAACGATTATTTATCCATGGGAGGCGGCGTGCCAGTGCAAGTTGATGGCGAAGCTTGGATTCAGCCACCTGGCTGTATCCAGATCGTTCATAAAAATAGGGCTCAGATGCTAGTCAGGGATAAGGAATTCGAAGCTATCCTCAAGATGTGGAATTCTCACGTAGCCTTAATTTCTAATGGGGAAAATACAACACCCCCTACTTCTTCGTTGCACAGCGAAGGAATCTCCCACAACACTTCTCCTACCAGAAAGTCTATTTTCAGCGCCATGAGTCCCCTCAGAGACCTAAAACACAGGCATTCTATAGCTTCTCCCTTTATTAAACGTATTTCGACAGTGGCGGCCATTATAGAGGAAGAATTCATCGCCCTGGAGACTTTTAAAAATACTTCAACTTTGTTTTTAGATTGCGCTCGGCAATCCTGTCATATTGATCAACTTTTTAGAACTCACATTGAAAAAGGATTAGGCGAAGTTATTTTACAATTCAACAATATCTGTCCCAACGGGAAACTTAATTCGGAATTACCCAATTTAAGGAATCATGTTTCAGATTGGATTCGTTCCGTAAAAAAATTGAGTAAAACTGTGATGGATTTCGTTAGCAATCATGATGATTTTAAACGAAAGCATCCAGCCCTATGTGGTAAACTTCAACAGGCTCAAAAAAATTTACGACAAGACCTTGATAAATTGCAGGAGATGGGTTTCTGTTTAAAATACCCTATCAATGTTCTGAATAAAGACAAGCCTCAAAATTTAGCTTGCTCCTCAGTTCCGAACAAGGTTAAAGCCCCTATTGCTAAAAAAGAAAAACATATATCCGAGTCTCAAAAAAGCTATCCCATTTATGACGCTAAGAAAAAAGAAAGCTTTATTATAGAAATAGATGCCGTCGATGATCCTAATGCACTACCTATTGCCAACAAACTAATTAAAGACTGGTCTTGTCACGATGTTTGTGTGTGGTTGACTGAGATGGGACTTCCGGAATACCAGGATTCTTTCAACAAACACGATATTCGGGGGAAGGAGTTATTGGATCTAGAGAGGAAAGATTTTAAAGATTTGGGAGTGACCAAAATCGGGCATATCAAAAGGATATCTCAGGCAATCAAGGATTTATATAAATTACAACAACCACCACCCAAAAGTCATTAAAATAATTCAATCATAACTGGATTACTTATTTCAGGCTTTTTCTTCTCAATAATGATCTCTTAAAGAACTAAAATGGCACCACATTTAAATTATTTAAAATATTTCGGTATTTTATTACTTATGATAAATATAGTTTAGTATGTAATAAATCTATTATTAACAATTATTTTGTAGTAAATTTATACAAAATATCAACCATTTATATATATATTTATATTAAAATTTTCTTTTAAAATGATATTTTGGCATTTATCAAACATCATTCATAATTTCACCCTATAAATTTAAATAAATTAATGGGATGTTTGTTTTTATTTATTTCTCTCAAATCCTGGTTGATATTTAATTATTATTATTTTTTAACCAATAGTCATTTTATAATAATTCATGTTATTTTTTTTTTCAATATCGAAATTTTGTTTTAAATTTAAGAATGAAAATAGTTTTGTATGTCTAAAAAAATGGGATAAAATATTACTAAATATTTTTCATTCATTATTTTGAATAAAAAAATGCAATACACAAATATTAGAATTTATAAAAAATTTATATCATAGAAGTGGGATGAGGGGACTTTTTCCCCTCATCGGAAATTCGTCTGTTCTCGTAAATTACGCTAATAAAAATCCTCCCCCCCCCCACACAACCCTCACCCCCAACTCCTTAAAGGAATTATACAATATATCACTATGAACAATAATTTGAAAGAAAAATAACTAAAAATTAATAATTTTCTTAAATGATAACTAATTGTAAATTTTAAAAAGTGACAAACCCAAATTATTTATATAAAATATAACATAGCCAAAGGTTTGCAATAAGTATCTAAAGACCTATAATATTGATGGGGGAAATCCCAATCTAATAGTGCCCCCCTCCCGTAAATCCTGTCTACCCCTATATTTTACATATGCTAGGATAAATATATATATATATAACATGACAGTGGCATAACTAGAGGAAAGGCATGAAATTTCACGCTTATGAAATTTGCAGTTTCTTAAAAGCATTTCAAAGCTAACAAAAATTGATGCTCCTACACCTCACTTCCTGTCAGTGTTGGAAAATAACACGCTATTTCATTTGGTAGCGATAGCGTTATCCTTTTTAAAATAGATTTACTTCACTGCTTTACATATCTAATAATTATTAATAAAATGTAATATTAAAAATTAATTTATCCTTAAGGTCTCCAAGATACAATTTTTTTAAAGTAGGAAAGAAAATTACCCAGATCAATAGGGATCATTGATCTTCTCTTAAAATTATGCAATCAGCTCAAATCGCGGTGTTTGAGGTAACTATCTAAGTGCCCTAAGAATGCATAACATTCCGTTCTTAATATTTTTTATCCATATATATTTGTATTTTTTTAATGTTTTCACTTAAGTTCATGCCTCATTTTCTAAGTATATTATTTTTACTTTTATAGTCAAAACAATAGATTCTTTATTATAAAATTGTTTCCTATATATAGTCTTTTATAATTATATCATTTAACTACTACTAATATGCAATTACATTGCCCTCCATAAGATAATATTAAATGTAAGAAAGTTATAATAATATATAATTCAAATAGCGTAACCTTTTAAAATATATATATAAACATTCAAATATAACATTTCTTTCCCACCAAGTTAAGATCGTCTATCAATCTTTTTATTACCAAGTTCAAGTTTAATCTTTTTGTTGGCTTTCGTTCCCTTGTTGGATAACGCGGTTGCCTTCCTTCTTGACTTGGTTTAATTGGTATTATTGATTTGGTTTCGTCTGGTTCTTCCCTTATTCGTAGTTCATCTGCGTGTTTTCGTACTATTTTATCTTTTTCTTCTACGTTATACGAGAATTTTGCTTGTTGATTTATTATTTTTCCTTCATGCCATCCTTTTTCAAGTGGATTTTTTATCCACTACAGAGGTTTCTAATTTTTCAGTTATTGATGGTTTCACCCAGTCTAATAAAGTATTTAGTCTTCTCCCCATAATTCTTATTTTTGCACCATTGACCATTCTGTGACAATTTGACGTGGAACACCATATCGTGTAAGACATTTTTCTAATCTATTTATTAAATTTTTACTTATGGTATCTTTGATTCTATCAATCTCTATCCATTTTGAATATGCATCGATTCCTACCAGCCAATAAAATCCGTCTAGTGGTCCTGCAAAATCTAAATGTATCCTTTCCAGGGTTGTGCTGGCGGATTCCATGGGTATATGGCAAGTTCTGGTATATCTCTGCGATGTTTTTGACACCCAAAACAGCGGTTGTCTAATTTTTCGGCATCTTTATCTAATTTTTCCCACCATATATAATGTCTCGTAATGGATTATCGATGTAATACTGGGATGACCTGTATGTAATATCTGTAAAACTCGTTTTTGTAGTGAATATGGAATTAGTAAGCGACCATTCCAAAATAGGATACCGTCATCATTTTCTATTTCACCTATTCTTGTTCTAAAAGCTTGTAATTCTGGTGCTTGATTTTGTATATTTGTACCATCTCTAAGTTCTTTTCTTGATAAAGTTAATGTGTCATAAGTAAGATTTCGTATATATTTCACTGTTTTATTTTCACTTATTATTTTATTATCATTTTTCTCTATTGGGTTTCGTGATAAAGCATCTGCAATTATATTACTTGCGCCATTCTTATACATTATTTCATAATCATATGCAGATAATTTATAAGCCCAACGTAACAATCTTTGGTTTGTTAAGGCGTTTAAATCTCTGTTATCCCCATATATTTTTATTAAAGGTTTGTGGTCCGTTCGTATTTTAAATTTTCGTCCATACAAATAGTTATGTAATTTTTCTACGCCGTTTACTATGGCCTTGGCTTCTTTGTCGATTGTTGAATAATTCTTTTCAGCATCTTGTAAAGTTCTTGAGGTGTAAGCTATAGGGTATTCGTTACCATTATCATATTTTTGCAAGAGTACAGCTCCAAATCCTTGGTTTGATGCATCTGTTTATAGTATTAGCTCAAACTATTCCTTTTGCTTTTTCAAATAATGCATCATCTTTTTTAGTCCAATTCCATTTAACATTTTTACAAGCTTTATTATGTAATTCGGCTATGATTCCGTGTAAGTTTGGTATGAACCGTGTATAATAGTTTAATATACCTAAAAATGATCTTATGTCATGTCTATCTTTTGGGGCTGCATCATTTGTTTGTGTGACTAATAATGGAAGCCATTGTTTTCTATATATAGTCTTTTATAATTATGTCATTTAACTACTACTAATATGCAATTACATTGACCTCCATAAGATAATATTAAATGTAAGAAAGTTATAATAATATATAATTCAAATAGCGTAACCTTTTAAAATATATATAAACATTCAAATATAACATTTACGATATTATTCTCTGGAGTTTTTAATTTTGAAATAGTTTGAATTTTAATATAATGAAAATTCCAGACACTTCTTAACTACCACCCTAAGTTATTTGGACTAGAACCCATAAATAATTTTTAAATCGTGGGTCGTCATATCTCCTAAGAATGTTTTTATTTTATGCCCTAAATTCGGTAATTTCATGATTCAATACCCAAAAATTCATAATATCTGATTTTATCGTTTCAAGGAGATTATTTTACACTAAGGAATTTTTAGAAACCACCCTATAAAGCTTCTTCATACCATTTTTCATCAATATATTCTAAACAATTGATTTGTGTTTCAAGCATATATAGATACAAAAATAGATTCATAATGATTTTTAAAATGAACTTGTATTAATTTAAAAAATGATAAATTTCTTTTGGGCATTCATCTTAAAAGGAATGATTTTTCAAATAATTCAAGAAAAAAGATGAGTCAATTTTGACTCGGGCTTTACACCATTTTTATAAAGTTGAATCAAAACTAATCCAGAATCTTTTTTAATATATGTTATAATATGTTTATTTTTGGAATTTTAATTTGACTTCTTGTTTTCGATTCCTGTTACAACCGCTATCGGTAAATATTGCCTACTAAAAAGCTGTATTTTTATTTGGCGAAAATAAATATTTAACATTTGGGCCAAGGTCATATGAGGGAATTGATATTAGATATAAAAGCCAGATGTTGACTAGGGATTCCCAAAGTATAGTGCTAGATTCAGGGTTTCAAACCGTTAGGTATAGCGGAAAGGTTTGTTCCAGTTTTTAGTTTAAAATTTTAAAAGGTTTTGTTCCATTCCGGTTTTTTTGAAGATATCTTTATCAGTTCGTTCCGTTTTAGCCTTTATAACGGTTCTTTTAGGTTCGTTCCCGGTTTTTATAAATTTGATTTTTTAAAATAATTAATCTAAACCATATATATTTAATCTTAGAGAAAAATCTTTTAATTTAAAATCTTATTTAATTTAAGTATTTAACATCTAAAATGTAAAACTTGCTACTATTTTTAACTCAATGTAAGATCATTTAATATAAAACAGGTAAATAAAATAAAAGTATAAAAATAATTTAATGCAATGTTAGATAATTTATTTAAATTAAAGATTTATAGTAAGATTTTTAATTATTTTAAGATTAAAAAAAAGATTTAGAAGAATATTGGGATTATATGATTTTTCCCTAAATTAAAACAAGTATTATTATAAAAACTAATTAATAAATAATTAGAACTCAAAAAGATTTTATTATTTCATAATGGCTCATATGCTGAAGAACGTATAATCATGTTTGCAAAGAATGAATTCCTAAATTTAATAGCAAATTCGACATGTTATACAGATGGAAATATCGCCATATCCAAAAAATTTCTAAATTATGTCAATAGAGTATCAATAAAAGCTTTTTTATCACAGCTATTTATTCCGGAAACTTGGAACGTGAATCAGAGCACTTTATATGGCGAAGAACGCCCAAATAATCAATATAAAGGATAGAATCATCGTTTTTTTAGAAACAAGTTGGAAATAAACACCCATCAATCTGGGTATTAATCTTAAAAAATGAAATGCCAGATGGCTACCGATGAAACCAAACCAACGATGGCGTGTATGTAGATGAACACCAAGAATTAAATCGCAGTTATAATACCCAGATTCGGTTAAAGAAACTTTACAAGGAATGCCGTGATGAGGTGCGAAGTTTTCCAGATTTTATAAGAGAGATTTATTTCAATATTCAATGTCAAACTAAATTAAGAATATTAAATTTTTAATACATAATGATGATTTTACCAATAAAATAAATATATCTTATTTCAAAATTTAGTCTACTTAATATTGTAGATGGACATTGTATTTAGTATAGAAAATAATTTTTCCAAAAATAAGAAATATATTTATTTTATGGGAGTATTTTCTTAGTACCACTTTGAACATCACCATTTTATCTTGTTAATATAATTAAAACACGAATTTGTCTATACCTTATAAAGATGAGTGTATCTTATAATGCAAATAAAAATATGCCTTTATTAATAGGTCTTAAATAAATTTGATAAACATGAGGAAAAAAAAATTCCGGGTTTTTTTTTCCAGGATTCGTATATTTTAGATAATTTTTCTTAAATTAAAAAGATGTATATTAAATTTAATATTGCATTGCCCTCAAGTGCTAGTGCTGAACGATTATTCAGTTATAGCTTATACTTTCTGATCGTCGCTCTAGACTTGGGGTAGAAATGTTATTATTAAAATGCAATAAAAAATAAATAAATTATATATATTTGAAATTATGGTGATATTTTTATACCATTATTTTTTTGTTTATGGAAATAGAGATACCTAAAAAATATTCTAAAGTAGCGTAAAAAGTAACTTTTGAAAAAACTGCGGTAGCGATAGCGAGCTACTTTTAAAAGTAGCTTTTAACAATACTACCTAAATGTATACTTTATTATAAAAAAATTATACAAAATAATGAAAAAATATATATAGAGATAGATTCTGTATTTAAGAAATATTGAAACCCAAAGGTATAACAGTTATTATGAACTCAGATAAGTAAAAATTCCCTGTTAAGAAAATTTGAAAATCCGGCTAAAGTTATATTCTCATAATGTGAAATATGGAATATAGTGCGCGTGGGGATTTAATGAAATCTTGGTTATTGTCAAAAAATATTCTTTGGCAATGTCTTTTCATAATGTTTCATTAACTTAATAAACACTATAGGTTATACATTAGTATGTTTATGTATTTGATTTGCAATACTTCAAATTCTTGTCAAAATTAAATATGAATTTGTGGTGATAGGAATAATTATATCGGATATAGTAAAAACTTGTTAATTAATTGTTATAGAAAACAAAATTTTATGTCTTTGTCTCTAGTATAATGAAATAGTAAAAGACAGAAATAATAATGCTTAAAAATAATTATTACTATGATAATATAAATATAACGTTTTATTATGATTATCCATTTATAGCTACATATATCAATCAATATCTATAATCTACATTATATTAGATAAATTGAATTAAAAAATTGTTTAGTAAAAAAAAAGTTATAAAATATTTTAAAAGGTTTATTACAATAAAAATTAATGTTAAAAATATAATACGATTTTTTAAAAACGAAACGATTTTTTATGTACACAATGGTATTGGCTCATTAATAATTTTTGAGATACTGCCGGGTATTAGAGATCTATGACAATTTGCCCCATCAGATTCCTTTCTTAAGCGGGTTCGAAATTTATTTATTACCTTTATATGTTTTTATTTAAAATATAGCGGATTTTTTTTTAAAAAAAAAATTACTTCTCCATTTAGATAACAGAGTATCAATGCAACCGAAAATCCCTATATAAGATATAAATAAAATTTATTAGCAAGATTTAAGCCTTACTTGTAGCCCTTCTAACAGCGAATTCAAGATGTGGTACACCTCCAAAAATCCGTTTGTTAAAGGAGGACGATATAAAGTTAATAGAATCTGGATTCCAAATAATGGCACTAAAAATAAGACGGCCTTGAGCGTTTGTCTGTAAAATTAAGAATATTTTAAAAATATTTAAATCTTCAATATAGTTTATGTAAATATATTTCTAATTAATAGAAATAAATTTATAAATATACAATTATAACAAACATAAAAATACTTATTCAAATTGAATTGAGATTTATAATTATTAAAACTAATTATTTTTGAGGATTTAACAAAATTAAGAATTTTTTTCTATATATCCTTCTTTTCAAACCTGTACCAAAGATGTTCTTTTTGTTGCCCAGATTTAAGTTTGACAACGATAATCTTGATTATTTGAATCAAAAATATGACATTGATCTAAAAGGAAAAATGAAAACAAAGTTTTAATTATAATGTAATATTTTATTTAAAATGAAATAAAATAAGTAGGCCATTTGGAATTAGAATATGTTTCTTTTGTTTATTAAGTTATTTAATTATAAAATAAAATTTTGAATATCACACTAGTTCATTACATATTAGTATTATTTGCATTTGAAGCCCTTTCCCAACTACAGCAATACACTTTGTGAGCTCTAAAGTTTTATGAAACGAATATATTTCTAAATAAACAGCTTTTGGACTACAAAAAAAATCCCCTTCCCTTAATCTTTCCAAAATCTAATCCTAAGTGCCCTTCACTCGTTTTTATCTTAGTCTCCTTTAACATTAATGGTTATATGGTATATATAACTTATATCTTGTGTATATGTATATATATTTAATTAGGCCTACGAGCAATATTATGATGCATATGCTATTTATGACCCAATCGGTAAGAGATGCCGTCATTATCCAACATCTAAAATTAAAACATGTATTTTAAAATAATCTAATTTTTAAACATGATTAAGTTAAATATAATTCCTCACCCTAAATGGTCGCGAGACCATTTCAATCCAACGTATATCACTAAAGGTATAAGTGGAAAACCTAAAACAAACAAAAACGTATATTATTGTATTTATTATAAATTTCGATTATATTTTTAGATTAAAATAGAATAGGCCAAAATGGTTTATTTAATCTTGGCGTATATTTCAAATTCTTTCATAATTAAAGTGGTTGTTTTTCATAAAATAAATTTTAAATATTAAATTTGATATCATATACTACAGAGACCTAGCGATTGGGAGCGGGCGATAAAATGGTAATAAAATCCGAGACAGGCTTAAAGAAACTCTAGGTTGGGCTGGAAAAGTAAGATTTTTTTAACCAGAGTCGATTTTTTAAAATTTAAATTTCTATCAATTAAATTGGGAAATGTTGAAAAATCATATAATAAATCGTTTTAGCAAATATTTACTGATTATATTTTGAACTTTGAAAAAATAAGATAAAACCAAAATTTGAAAATCCATAAAAAATAAGGCAGAAACATTATATATTTGTCTATAAATTATGCCGAAGCTAAAAAATATAAATTGAGATATTATTTAAATTAATGATTAAATAATGTTTTGATCTCATAATTTCAAATAAATTTTATAATGATCTGCAAATTATTTCATTTTCCTTTGGCAATTAATTATACTTAAAATTAGAGGTCTGCAAAGTTAGGCCCGGCCCGAGCCCGGCCCGAACGGCCTCGGGTCTAATTCTATTTATAATAATCGGGTTAGGGCCAGGTCTATTATTTTTAAAAAAAATTCGGACCGGGTCGGATCGGACTTTGGAAATTTTATTAAATATATCTAATCTTAATTTTTCATTTTATATTAAATATTTTATGTAAAATAAAAAATTTTGATTTAATTTATTGAAACTAAACGCTATATATCATATGTCTTTTATTTTGAGTAATTATAAAAATTAATTTATATATTTAAATAAATTCGGTCGGACCGGGTCGGATCGGACTTTGGAAATTTTATTAAATATATCTAATCTAAATTTATCATTTTATATTAAATATTTTATGTAAAATAAAAAATTTTGATTTAATTTATTGAAACTAAACGCTATATAACATATGTCTTTTATTTTGAGTAATTATAAAAATTAATTTATATATTTAAATAAATTCGGGCCGGGCCGGAAAATTTTTTTAAAAAAAATTTCGGGTTCGGGCCAGGCCGGCAAAACTTTTTTAAAAAAATTTCGGGTTCGGGCCGGGCCGGCAAAACTTTTTTCAAAAAATTTCGGGCCGGGCTTGAAAAATTAGGCCCGATGCAGATCACTACTTAAAATATCTATAACCGAGACCTGCAGACTCTTATCAAAACCTAACCCTGCCCAGATAGTCCTGGGAAACTCGGAATGGGTTTATTATTAATAAATATAAAATCCGTGTCACAGTCACAATTTAAAATATATTTTAAAAATTCACGATTTTTTAAAAGCGTCTGTGACCTAATCGGCAAGAGCGTCGCTCACAAATGTGTAGGTCATGGGGTTCGAATCCCAGTAATGATTTTTTTTTACTTAATCTGGCAAAATTAATTAAATAGAAGATAAAATAATTACGATTTAAAGTTTGTTGTTATTTTAAAATTCAAAATATTAAATAGGTATTCTTATATTTTTAAATTTTTACACTACGTAATAACCAATAGTATTCTTATAGCATCATATCAAACACTTATTCATCAAAGCATCCATTAAAATATATCTATCATTACCATCTTATACTTACTTCATAAACATATATCTATCTATGTATAATAATATATATAAAAGCCGTGTCATAGTTTTAGTATCACAATTTATAATATATATTTAAAAAATCGTCAACTTTGAAAAGCGTCTGTGGCCTAATCGGCAAGAGCGTCGCTTACGAAGCTGATGGCTTTGGGTTCGAATCCCAGCAATGCATTTTTTTTGTTAATCTAACTTTGTATACTTTTTTTAAATTATATTAACTTCCTTATTTTTTTTAATTTTTATTATTTATGTACTCAATAAAAAATTTAATTTTGCCAAAGGAGGGTTTTGTATATTGTAATCATGGAAACAGATTTGGATTAATTAAGAATGAGTCTTTTAAAATTGGTTTCAAGAAATTGAAAACCAATTATTTTAGGAAGAACATCACAGATTGTTCTATCATCAAGATGTCAAATAATTATATCCAAATCAATTTTAGATTTAAGATAATGGATGTGATAATGAATACCAAGGTAAAATAAACGAGAACGTGTGCTCCCTGTTGGATCCTTTCGTCAGAATCGATGACATGTGGAATGAATAAAAGAGTTTTAATGTTACAGTATTTCTCTAGGAATTAACAGGAAATTTGGGATAAAAACAATTTATGAAATGTTCACAAAATTTGCTATTGAAAGCATTTTTAAAGTCTACTTTGATAATAGCCATGTTAGGAGGAGGATTTTGGAATACAAATGGCATGTGAAGCTATACCTTCTCCCTTAACACCAAATCCTATTGATAAGTATACTTAATAAGAGACCCTGGGTTTTGACCCATGTCAATTATTTTTGCTAATAATCTTCTAAATAGCCCATTGCAATGGGGTGGATACCACCACAATTTTGTGAGATAATTAGGTTTGCCCCCATGAATGATTCGAATCTATTATGGCAGGTCCTTTTTTAAAAGAGTATTTAGGAAGGTTTTAAAGCATTTAAATGATACTTTGAGAAGAATGTAGATTTTATACGAAGTGAGAGAGAGCAAAAACCATTGCGTCTGGATGTGGAAAATTTCTTAAAAGAATTGATAAATATCAGAATTCATAACTCACAAATCATATTTTTTTTATTCCATATTTTTCATAATATATTTGGCCTTTTCTCTAAAAATTTATAGAAATCTTGGAAGGATGAATACGGATAATCTATTTCTCTCATTTGACTATTATTCTGATTCATCCATCGTCAAATAAAGGTAAAATTTGTTATTTATCCATGCGGAGAAAATTTTGATTACCCGTCATTCTTGACGGGATATCAGCTAGTATTATATAAAAACCCAAGCCATGCCGGTTGGAAAAGTACAAAACCAGAATTCATATTCATGGCCAAATTTTTCTTTTTTTCAGACTAGGATTTACTACAATAAATTAAAATTTTCATAAAACACCATGTTCACGACTTCTCAAATTTAAAATTTTCTTATGAAACTATTGACAAATAAAATCAAAATGACCAAATTTAAAAAAAAAAAAAACAATTTTAAAACCCCATTCGTAAAATGGCTAAAAAGAATATTTAAAAAACCTACTATAACCAGGCTGGAAAGTGGTAAAAATTTATAAAGGCTATTTAGTATAAGTATATGATATTTTATTGAGTTTTCTTAGACAGAAAGGTGTGGATAATATACAAGAGGAATAGGCGGGTTTTATCCCGTCCATCCTATGAATGGGCGTGGGTGAGCGGGTAAATAAAATTTAAACATTCGGGCCGGTTAAAAATATTAGTAAAACAATGAGCGTTGGTTAATTTGAAATATTTTTTGTGTAATGAGCAGAATGGGCTTATATTTATTAATAATTTTTAAATATTGGGAGGGCTAGCGGGTTTAATAAATGGGCGGTGCGTGAATTTAAAAAAAACTATTGACAGACGGTGTTCGGGTTAAAAACTCGCCCATTGCTTACCCCTATACTGCACTCCACCATTCAGATGACGACATTTTTAGGCTATAATAATTATACTTATGATTATATATAATCATTAAGTAAGAATAAAATAATTTTAGATAGATGGAAAGAAGTTTTTCAGAAAATAGGTAACAAAAGTCATTTGTTAATGAATAATTTTTAAAATAAGCTTTTATTTCACCGTTGTAATAATGATAAATGTAATAATTAAATATTCATACCCCAACCAAAGGCTAAATACAATTTTATGGAATCCTTGACATTTAAAGCGAATATTAATATGTTGTACAGATACACTCCCTCGTTAAACATCCAACAATAAGTCGTTATCAAAAGATATTTGTTGAGAAACGCGAAGTAATTACACCATTTCTGAAAAGCAAAATAATATGATATTTATCTAACATTTATAAATAACTAAATAAAAATATTATTATTAAGTTGATTGGGATTTATACATTCATAATGTTCAATTTAGTGGTTCATAAGGCTGTAAGGTTATAGACAAGTAATAAGAACTACCATAGGCTTATATTTAACCCGTGAGGACACTTAGATATAAACAAAATGTAAATAGATTAACAAACATTTATATTAAGTTAAATAATTGAAGCATTCTTGTTTCTTTCAGCCAATTTAGAACTATGGCAAGATTAAAAAGTCAGACAGGATTCAATAAAATAAATGTGAAAGAAAGGGAATATCTAACTTTAATAAAAATTTCCAGAAAAGGAACGATAATTTTTTTCACTCGTTTTCAGGAAACGACGTACCTCTGGGTGCCCTCCCTATTACACCCTAGGTTTTAATTTTTTAAACCGAAAAAATATAATTATTGATTATTGTAAATATATAATATAATGTATTTGCGCAGCAAAAAACTATTAATAGAAATTATGAACACATTTCTTAGAGATACAAAATGAAAAACAAGTCCCTCATTTTATATATGCGTCAATTTATAAGAGTGACCTATTGATTAATAAAGATATTAAATAACCAACAATTATGGGCCCATTATTCGTGATAATAAATGGGTAAGTGGGCACCTATTGAGCCATTTTACTTATTTTATTCGATCCTCGACAGGACAAGTATTTGTTTTCCTGAAACCAACCTCATGGATGATTTTATAGTTAAAAGCATGGTTGCCAGACCTCCAAATTTTAGCGCAAACTTCCATATTTTTTTAATGTAGATTACCCCAAAATACGCCGTCTATTAATTTACACTTTTTTCCGATTTTTTATACTTTCTCTCGATTTTTTATAAAAATAAAATCAACTTAACCAGAAACTTGCACTCACTGTTATTTTTTATTTTAATTTACATATAAAAAGATATTTTGTTTTTAGTTTATTATCCATTTAAAAATGATATTTTAGAATTTTGAAATAATTCTGCATTTTTTAAAATGTTATTTAAATTTTTTAAAATTTTTACAATTCCATATAGCTTAATAATTTTGGATAAGTTAAGTAAAACTTTCTCTTAATTAGATATTTATTTTCTAATTTTATTCCTTTTTACAACTTTAAAATTCCAACTTAACAATAAATTTTATGACTTGGTTGTAAGAATTCTTATAAAATGTGGTGATCATGATAAAATCATATCATTTCAATTCAAAATAAAGTTAATAAATTCATTTAAAACAAATCATTTCTTTTAAAAAAATATGAATTTACAAATAAAAAATAGGAAAATCTAAGAATTATGACACGTGATAATAATTTCAACTTAGAAAGTTAAAATTTTAATATCGAATTATGAAAATAGGATATCATAGTTAGTACCTTTTTTTTCAAAGAAACATTGCTCTAAATTTTAAAAAAATATGTAATATTATTTTCTCATTACCACATTTATCTACTCAGAGGGTATATTTAATCTAATAAAAAATTCCTGAGAAAAAATAGTGATCGATTATCCATGTTAGCTTTAGAGAAAATGATCAAACATCATTTAAATATATAATTGGAATGAATTTAAGGAATAGGTAACAAAAATAAAATTTTATCTAATAGCATAAAATCTTCTAAAAAATATGAATGAGAATAAAAATATTTTTAATTTTATTCCGTAAAAAAAATTTTTTTTTTTGAATTATGATTAAATTCTCCCATTTTTTATTTGAATTAATCTGACAACCCTGGTTATTTGGTTATAGAGATATGGGTTAGGATGTTAGTATAAAAATAATGGATGAATAGCTACCTACTTGCGGATATATGCTATAATAAACTTATTTATTTTTTAAAAAAAATATAACATTTAAACCGCGGATATGCCTATGGATTCATCCCATTTATTCTGTTGCGAAATGTAGAGACTATCGAAAATAATGACTGTGATACCTCTTAATAAAAATGAAACCATAAGATTTTCGTGTAGTACAACACGGGTACATCTGACCAACCTAACATATTAATTTTTTAAATAAATAAAATGAATTTCAAAAAGTATTTTCTAAAGTGAACTTATTAGTTAATTAACGGGAAGGGGGAGGGGAGATTGACATATCAATTCCCTTTAAAATGATCTAATTGTATACTAAATAATTGGATTTTAGTTAGTTTTTATAAAATTTTATAAAAGAGTTTTAACTCAATTAAAAGTTATACCTGAAGATTTTAAATATGAAGAGTGCTGGAAGAATGGCCAATATGCTTATAATATAAGCAACGATCCGAACATATTGTCGTCTATAGTATAGCTTTGAGAGAGATGTAAAAGAAAATTTTATTTATTTAAATTGTCTAAAATATTTTAGACATTTCATCCTTAAAAAAATATTCTAAAAGTCATTTATGTTTACAATTTACGGTTAAACAAATAGAGATGCCAAAATGAATATACCCTTATCTATTTTAAGGAGACTAAGATATGCATACTTTTTATTTTAAAATCTTTGTATAAAATTAGATCAGGGGATATAATTTAAAAAAATTTCTAAAAGTTATTCAAGGATATCTTAAGTTTCAGAAATTTGTTAGGACTAGCAACTAGTTACTATCTTTAAAATAAATGTATCGAAAAATAACTTTGTAAAAAAATAAAATATGATATGTATAAATTTAAATTATATTATATTATAAAAATTAAATGTTGGAAATAAAGATATGCACAAAAATATTCTTAAGAACTAGTGCATGTATATAAACATACAAAGTATTCATGAAAAAAATATAATTAAGAAGCATATTATAAATTTATAATGTGAAATTTAATCTTCTTGGGGATTGATCTAATTTTTTAATGATTTGGCGCTTAGTGTAAACACCCTGTGTATATAAAGAAGGGCGAACCCTTTCATATTTTCAGAGGTAGTACCTTTCAGGTAAGTTTTTTTCTTTCATTGGTTGAAGTACTAGATGGTAGAATTGCCAAAATATATAATAATTTTTATTGTGGAATTTAAAGAGTATACATCTTTTTGTTTATAAAAGTTTAATTTGTTAAAGACATGTGCATCATTTATATAAAATGTGTAAATTTTTTTTGTATAAAATGTTTTTCACTGATTTAATGTCCGGTATTTTATTTTAAGTAGTTTTGAAGATTTTCAAATTAATGAGGATTTTTATCTTTTAAGAATTAAATCTCGAAAGATATGATTAATGGATAAAATTTATTATTTATTCATTATTTTATAAGCTCTATATAATTGAATACTTAAGAATGTAACTTTTACTTATATTAAAATCGATGAAATGAAAACTTTTAGTTTTTTTTAAGTCGATAAAATTTTACTTAATTAATTTAAATTTATAATTGTATTAAAGTTTTCAATGAAATTTTAGTAATGAATTTTAAATTATAATTGGATTAAATTCTGATTATATGTTACAAAAATTATTAAATTATATAAATTAATTGATAAAGTTATAAAATAAAATTTCTAAGTTATAAAAATTTTAATATATTAGGAAAATAATCTAAAATGTGTTTAAAATTATGCAAAGCATCTGTGACATTCTTTGGAACATTATCAACGTCAGTTAACCTTTTATACATAGTTTGCATTCAGCTAGTAATGTATCCTCTCCCAAAATCCTACCTTCAGCCTCATCGTGGCGGGGGAGTGGCAACGTCTTTTGGCGGCAAATGGAGGTCTAAAAGGTTCCCTGTGATCTGGGTCTAGAATAGGATCACCGTCTCCTCGACGGGGTGTAAAAACCACTTAAAGAGGTTGATGTCAGGAAGGGCATCCGATTGTAAAAACCATGCTACAAAAATTTCCTTATGGTTACAACAAAGCATGGGCGGGGTACAGCCCAAAGTACCCCGTGGGCCTCCTCATCCGCCTACGACAAAAAAAAGGATGGGAAACCTGGTGGAACCACTATTCATGAAAATGAAACCTATGACGGCCATAAACGACCTAATAAAAAGTGGAGAAACCAGTTTACGGGTGATCGAGTTAGGGTCGCGACATGGAATGTTGGGAGTATGACGGGAAGAGCGGGAGAAGTCGTCGATGTATTGCACAGAAGACATATAGATGTGTGCTGCATACAGGAGACTAGATGGAAAGGAAATGGGACCAGAATGATTGGCAAGACTAGCGAAAAATATAAATTCTTTTGGCAAGGAGGTAATGATGGTAAGGCTGGAGTTGGGGTATTGGTTGCGGAGAAATTGGTAGACAAAGTAGTCGAAGTGAGAAGGCTAGACAACCAGATAATGGTTATCAAGATGATTATTGGTAGAAAGCTATATAATATGATCTCGGCATATGTTCCTCAGGTTGGAAGAAGTGAAGAAGAGAAAGATGTATTTTGGGACAGTCTATTGGGGGTGACATCGAGACTGGCAAATGAAGAGGGGATTATCCTGGCTGGCGATCTGAATGGACATGTGGGAGCGAGTAGTGAGGGTTATGAAGGAGTACATGGAGGGTTCAGTTACGGCATGAGAAATTTGGAAGGAGAGAGGATTTTAGAATTTAGTGATGCTATAGATATGATTGTTTGTAATACAATGTTTAAGAAAGAATCAGAGAAGCTGGTGACTTATAAGTCGGGTAGTACCAAAAGTGTTGTGGATTACTTGTTATTAAGGAGATGTGATCGATGTATAATAAAAAATGTGAAAGTGATACCGGGAGAGGAATGTATAAATCAGCATCGACTAGTTGTAGGAGATCTCACTCTTAAAGGTGCCAGGGTCACTAAAAGAAAGTTTGTCCCAAGGCTGAAGGTTTGGAAATTGAAGGAGGAGAATGCTAGACGTCAATTCAATATGGCATTGGCGATTAGGGAGGCGGAGGTGGCACAAGCATCTGGGGTGAATGACAAGTGGGAAGCCATGAAGAAAGCTTGGGTAATGACAACTGAGGAGGTATGTGGATGGACAAAAGGGCCGCCTAGACATAAGGAGACTTGGTGGTGGAGCCCAGAGGTAGCGAAAGCCGTGGATGAGAAACGGAGGTGTTTCAAAGTATGGTATAATAGCAAAGAAAATAGTGATAATGATATTTACAAGATGGCTAAAAGAAATGCTAAGAAATTAATAGCGAAGGCTCAAGAAGAAAAAAGACACGAGTTTGCTAAAGAAATGAAATGCGCTGATGGAATTGGAAATATGGTTAGAATGGCAAAACAGATGTCAAAAAAGAGGCAGGATGTGATAGGTGTAAAGTGTTTGAAAAATATGGAAGGAAAAATGACGATTGATAGTAGTGGTATTAAGAACACCTGGAAGATTTACATGAAAGGACTTTTGAATGAAGAAAATGAATGGAATAATAATATTAGTTGTGCAAAGGTAGAAGGTCCAGGGTGTAAATTTGGCAAGGACGAGATAAGGAGAGCAGTGAAAAAGATGAAGAAAGGGAAGGCATCGGGTTTAACGATGGTGGTATCAGAGATGTTTAAAGGTTCTGATGATTTAGGGATTGAATGGTTAATGAATTTAGCAAATCAGATTGTCACAGAAGGTACTATTCCCGAGGACCGGCGAAGAAGTATAATTATCCCAGTATACAAGGGGAAAGGTGATCCTTTAGATTGTGGGTCTTACAGAGCTATTAAACTCGGAACATACAATGAAAGTATTTGAGAGAGTGTTAGAAAAGCGGATAAGGGAACAAATCAAAATTGATGAAATGCAGTTTGGTTTTACATCGGGAAAAGGCACGACAGATGCAATTTTTGTGGTGAGACAAATTCAGGAGAAGTATCTTGCGAAGGAAAAGAAACTCTATTATGCGTTTGTTGATTTGGAGAAAGCATTTGATAGGGTGCCGCGTGAGATTACAAGATGGGCCTTGAGAAAATCCGGTGTGGAATGGTTAGTTACCGCAGTGATGGCAATGTATGTTGGAGCACAAACAGCAGTACGGACGGATCATGGTGATAGTGACAGCTTTGAGGTGAAGGTAGGACTTCATCAAGGATCCGTGCTGAGTCCATTATTATTTATCTTAGTAATGGATGTGGTGGCTAGAGAAATGCGTGAAGGACTTCCCTGGGAGATATTATATGCAGATGACCTTGTATTAATGGCAAACAGTGAGGGAGAATTGAGGGATAAAGTTAGTAAATGGAAGATGACTATGGAAGCAAAGGGCCTGAAAATGAATGCATCAAAAACAAAGGTGATGATTGGTGGGGAAAATCTAAAGATAGAAGAATCAGGTATTTCTCTGAAGTTAAAGGGGAAAGTTTACGTAAGCTGCGTGAGGAGTTGTTTAGTTTATGGCGGTGAAACATGGGCAATGAAAGCAATTCACGAAGCCAAATTAGAAAGAACAGAGATGAGGATGGTTAGATGGATGTGTGGGGTATCTCTGAGAGAGAGAAAAACTAGCAAGGAATTGCGAGCAAGATTAGGTATAGAAATGATTGGTATGGTAATGCGACGAAATAGACTAAGATGGTTTGGGCATGTGGAACGTATGACAAGAGATGACTGGGTAAAGAGATGCACAATGATGGAAGTAGGAGGATCAAGACCTAGAGGAAGATCCAAGATGACGTGGACAAATGTGATAGCGGCGGATATGAGAAGCTTGAATCTTACAAGTATTGATGCTCAGGACCGTCAAAAATGGAAAAGAAAAATCAGAGGGAAAACTGGCCTACCCGGGTAAACCTGGAAATCGCCATAAAACGGAGAAGAAGAAGAAGAAGCTAGTAATGTATCATGAGATATTTTAACATCCTCACAATAAAAACTTCAAATATTTAATTTTTTTACCTGTTAATACCGATAATAATATTTGCAGATTTGTAAGTATATCTGATGAATCAAGAACCTTTCATTCATTTGAGTAATAAAAGATCCAAGAGGTGGATAAAGAAGTTTCTCCTATAGTATTCTTCAACTGACCCTCTATTAATATTAGAACGATTGGCTTACCTTGCCGCGGAGTCGAGGAGGCAAATATTAAATTTACAGAGCTCTGTTTTTGACTAAACAATTACATATAATTTATAAAATTCGTCATCTACCATTGCCCTAATTTCCTTAAGTTCCTAAATAATGTTTTCAGCGATTCTCATTGTCTCAATCAAATCGATGACATTTTTTTCAATTACTTAAAATACTTACGTATTTAAATAATTTGACATTCTAATGTAATAATAAATTGGTTGTAGTACTGTGTCCAATAATCTGTCTGCTTCTGAAGAAATCTCTTTTCAGGCCATTGGGTTATTTCATTAGAGCATTTATAATAGGTTCTTCTAACTCCATAAAAGCCGTTATTTTTATGGCGAAGGCTTCGTCTTGTTGGACAAGTTTTTTGCAGTATTTTTCTATATAATGGACAAGGAATTTCAGGTATAATTCTCAATATTATATTTTATCTCTTGGAATATCTAAACATCTCATAAATGCTAGATATTTTGCCTAACGTAAATGAGAAATTTTAATCTCAATAAAATAAACTTCAAAGCCATTTGATATTAATGGCAGAGAAGAAATTGTCAGATTCAATGAGCAGCACAGTGCACATATATAGACGTTGAACATTTCTTTTTATAAAGACTGAAGCTAGTCGAATTGCAAATCCATTGCATGGACTCCATCATACCCTTGTCAAGATGACTAGGATTCTGATTTTCATCAATAAAGATAAAAAAAGAAATCCTTATATCCATTCTTAAACCATAAATATTAATTGTTTAAAATATTTTACCTTGGCTTTGCAATGAAAAAGTTTCAAATAATTTGGTGATAAATAAATTTTAAAATGGTATATAAAATATAAATATAACGCAAAAATTTGAAATATATATTGATTCCTAGAATAAATTAGGTTATTTCATCGTGAATGTGATAAATAAATGTAAATTGAAATATATGATTAAAATAGTTTATTATATTTTACAACTACCTTTTCACAAGGCTAACTAATTGTCTTTAAAAAATAAACATTAACAATAAAAACATAGGAATTAGACATTAGAGAAATGGACAGTAATATCAGATCAGTGATGAAACCGATTTAAGAGAGAATTCAGTAACCAATAATCTCGTTATGATAAAAAACAAAATGAAGTTGAATAAAAAGGGCTATATGTTTTCCAAAAGTGTAGGAGAGGGGGCTGTGGGAACTGTGTTTTATTAATGTAATTATTAAATTTTAAAGCTACAAAGAAATTAGTAATTTATGCAATTGACATTTTCCACAAGATATCTGTTTTAAAACAACAGAGTCTCGTGTAATAAAAATCAACAAAAATTATTATCAGACAATAGAATATGTATCGAAATAATCTTCATCAAGTGTAGACCCCTAGTTTAATATATGGAGAATTATGAAGAGATAGTTAAGAAAGTATCGTTCATGTACAAAAGTAGATTTGCAGATCTAAATTTACGTTGTGGTCGTTTTTTTTGAAACATGCTCCACTTTTTAATTTAATTACAATTCTGATATGGCTAAAGGAAATAAAATATTTTTAAGTTTTTCATTTACACAAAGGTTTGTACTAATGTCCTAAAAGTTCATTTAAAAAAAATTATTTATGTATTTTTTAATTTCAAATGCTATGCGAGGCAGAGTGGTGCATAATAATTATCAGAGACCTGCAGGCCCGACCTTAAGCCTGCCCCGGGTATATAGGCCAGGACTTTTTTTTAAATATCCGGACCGTGTCTGAAATTTTTTAGAACGATCCTAAAAAATTTCTTTTAAATACACGAGCCAGGTGGGGCCGGGTGGAATATTTTATTCGCATTTTTATCTATAAATATTAAAAATAAATAAATTATATTTAAAAATTGTATAACATAGAACAGTATATCACATTCATCCCCTTTATTTCCTTCCACTTTTTCGATTCTTAGAAAATATTTCTTGTAAAATATTATTAAATCAATTATTCAACTAATCATTACTTTAGGTGATATTCAATCCAATTAAAAGTCGCAAAGATACACTCAAAAATTTAAAGTGTAGTGATTCAAATTCACTCCTTTTTTCAAATCCGGGTTGGGCGAAAAAAAAATTTAAAGTCGGGAGCTGACTGTGCAAATGGTAACTCTACAAGTCTCTGATAATTCTAAAAGGTTATTTCATTTAACCTTTATTAATTAAAATAAAATACAAAATGATTTTTAGAAATATTTTTCTGGCTCCCTTGGGTTTAATTCCATTCACTATAAATATATAGGCCTGTATTATAACACATTACATCAATCTTAAGGCACTGCGAGTAATTGCTCCATTCTTTGTAAGCATTTTGAGATGGATCAAATACCTTAAACCAAGTATTGTTGGTTTGACATAATTTAGTAGCTTTGGCACCTGTTATTTAGTTTAATAAATATATAATATATTATCATAGGCATTATCAGAATCATAAATATATTATCAGTCATTTATGTTCTATTATTATCTGTTATGGAATTTTAAGAATTAATAAGATAATAGAAAGATATTTGAAATAATTTTAACTTGTTTATTATAAAATTTTGCATAGATAAAATTTAAAATTTCAATGGATGATATTGTTATCAAGTTAATGTTGAAAAATGTTTTCTGACAGTCGAATTTTTATTAACACCACTGAACATTTATAAATTATAATCTTTTAAAAAATGTCTCAATTAATATTACATGGTGTAAAAATTTCTTATATAATAAAGTAAAAATAAAATTAGATATTTTTAAGAATGCGTTCCGGAACATTTCGAAATATGGAACGGAACTTATTTTTTGGCCGGAATGGAAATGGAACAGGAACGCAAAATATTTTTCTTCCAATCCCTGGTTTATAATGATACATTATATCCATTTTCAGAAAATAGTGGGGGGTAGTAATTTTTATTTGCTTAAATAGATATTTGAATATTCCACACATTATAATTAAGTCATTTTCTAAAATTTGAATATTTGAAAATTTCACACATTCTAATAAAATTATTTACTAAAATTTGAAACATATTTTTTTCCTTGTCAAACAAAAAAAAAAGTGAATAGGTTATTTCAAACAACTAATATTCCATATCTATATTTGGTTATAATAAAATATTTATAGGATTATGGCATTGAAAGATTCTAGATATTTAAAATATTTTATCAATCTGAAATAATTATAAGTCATAAGTAAAACTCACCAAGAGATATGTGAAATTTCCCGCCGTGTATATAATTGGGGCATTGCATCAAAATAATATTATTGACTTTGGAAGTAGACCAGCATAACCAACCATCCCATGTTGCAGGGCATGCTATTTCAGAAAAAATAATCATTGTTTTATAATTAATTGTTCTTTGGGTTACATTGTAAATCGGTGAAAAAAATGTAAAATAAATTTTAAAAACAATATATTTATATAAACATGTGCTTTTTAATTGATTTCATGGTTTGTCATTATCTACACAGTAATTCAATAGTTTTAGTTACTAACTTTGAAATGTTTGAATATTATAGAGGCAATATAAATTTTTAGTCTGCTAGGAATATAAAATAAAGAAAAAGTTTAGGCTACGCATCTCCAACTTTTTTCGGTCAGGATTCTACTATTTTATGTAAAAATATGATATCTATAAATAATAGCAAACATTAAAATATTGAGGGCAGCGAGACATTTATTACAACTTAACATGAAACATATATAATAAACGTAAAAATTATTATGAAATATTAATATTATATAAAATTCAACTAAAGAGCTTCTTTCTATTCCAGACAAGAGAATATATGGAAAGGATTAAAGTTTATAATTCAACAACTAAAGTTCTAATAATATTTTAAATCCGAAAATTAAATAGAAAAATTATGTACAGTCCATATAAAAAAATTTTGGTCATAATATAGACTAGACTGGGGTAGGGTTAAAAATCAAGATCTTCATTTAAATTGAAAGGGGGTTCTGAGTTATAAATACGCCATCGTCTATGAATAAAATTGATGATGGGGGGGGTTACTAATTCTGATCTGGCAGGCGGGTAGGGTTTATAGAAGTTCCTAATATAGGCTCTACACCAAATCTTGTCTATAATATATACAAATGTAGAGATCATTTATTTAATGATCCAAGGGTCACTGATTCATTGGCGCTTTGTTTTATGTTTATTTTTGGAGTTTGGTTAGAGGAAAACACAGTTGCCCATTAGGGTTAGTATATATTTAAGCCTTGAGTGGTGAGGTGATGCGAAGGTAAAAATGGTTTAGGGGAGAAGCATATAAAATAATTCTAAGTATCCCCCACGCCTTAACCACTTCAAATAATAATGCATTTTTCTTTAAATTATAAAGGTTGATGTGAGTTCTTCCTTGCCTTTAAGAAATTTATCTTTTAAAAAATAAAAAGAATATTTAATAAAATTGCATGAAACTTTGTAGAAACATAGTTTAGCCTAAAATAGAAAGGTCCTGAAAAAACTAGGTTGACATATCGACAGAATTTCTTATAGCAATAAAATAACCATTTAAAAGTCTATAGGGTGTTGTTGTTATTAACTAATTTTAAGCAAATTAAAATTTACAAGGGGGGCCTTACTATTTAAACGCAAGGCACCTACATTTAATATTAATGGTTTCTTGAGAAACATTAAATCGGGGCTTTACTCTAATTTCCATTATAAACTAATGAAAAATAATTGTAACATTTTGAAATGGGAGATTACCATAATTATAAAAGACAGTTATAAGATAATAATAAAAATATGTTAAATTATTTAAAGTATATATGTCCAGTTCATACAAAACTCTTAATATAAATATATACTTAAGTTGTAAAATTATTTATAATATAAAATTTTTTATATGTAAATTTGGCATGACAAGTCGCAAGATAAACAAAAATAATCAAAAAATTTATTAAAGATGAAATTGAATTTTTTAAATACATTTTTCAAATTTTAAAGACAGAACTTTATTTTTAACCTACACTGCGAATTTATCTATAATAACATAAATAGCATGGCCAAAACGAATATAAAAAAAAAATAGAATATTTTAACGATTTCAATATATTCGAAAGGTCATTAAATATTCAAATTTATGCAGGAGACTGCAGGTCCGTTAGAACCTAGTTCGAAAATGGGAAATTTTTTTTTATTAATCTGGGATGGGCTTAAAAATAAAACACTTTACAAGGGTGGCTTAAGAATAAAAACAAAAAAAATGGTGAATTCGGTTTTAAACAAATATTTATTTTTTTAAATAATACTACCAGAGTTAGCAGAGTAATTGAGCGAATCGAAAGCGGGTGGCGTTAACATGTGGGATTCGATTTTATGAGTATCACAACAGTCCTTGGCCGCTTTGCAACAATCTATCCAAGACTTTTTCTCCAGGTCATTTCTAAAATAGTCAAAAACCGGGGATTTTAGATTTTCGAAATCTGGGTCATAAAATTTTATGTCCGAGTTGATCTGGATCATGTGATCGCGAGCTGAGTTATGATTAGTTATATCAAAGCGACCTTGAACCATGTTTTTTTTGGATATGCTATGAGGATCTAAGGTGAGTTTCGGGAGATCGAGCTTATGAACCAACCAATGTTCGTATAATCTTAGGTCGTGGTCGGGAAATATGAAAGCAAAACATTGAGCACAACTAGTGTTTAAATAGAGCAGGATTGGGAGGTAACCTCCTGTGTATCTACAATAGTAGATTGACCTTGATATGTTGTTGTTGATGGATGTATAAGGGATTAGAGTAGCTGAAATAACTCGATCGACAAGTAGTAATAGGTTGAGATTAAAAATGAGCTTAAAAGTTTATAAAAAAATAAATGTTTCATTATATGCATATTCTATGCCTGTTTTAATAAATTTCTAGTAAAATCAGATTTTTCAAAATTAAAAATTATCCTCAGTAAATTATTTCAAAAGAAATTCAGAAATTTCACATGAAGATTCCTCAATTATGATATCGTTATTCCAGAAATATATATATGTCCTAACAGTATATGCGTTCTTTCAGAATCTCTAAAATTTAAATGTGAGATGATCATAAATATGAAAAATCTGATTTCGGAAATATATTACAGCATACAGGCGCGTACGCATGAATTTGGTCTGGAAAGGGATAATAAAATTTTTTAAGAAATATTATTGTTAATTAAAAATACTAAGCATAAATATATTAGGACTAATAACTTTCATAATACACAATTTTAAATTAATGTGAATTACAAAAAAATTATATATATAAACTGGCATTGAAAAACTATAAAATAAATGTGAATTATTAAATATAAAGTGAATATAACCACGATATGAATCACTTAAATGACCCAAAATTGAAATTTGAATTTTTTGAGCCTTAAAAATATATAAAGTATAAAAAATTTAAATGTTGGAAATATAAATTAATACACAAAAAGTTTCTTAGGAATAATTGTATTTTGTATGTTTTGAGCTAATTTTTCAATTATCTATCCTTGCTTGGCGTTAAATGCCTATGAATATTCAAAAGATCCAAATCATTCAATCTACTTTCAGAAGTTGTATCTCATAGATATGTTTTTCAGAGACTTGTAGGCCCGGCCCCCGATCCGGACCGTATTTTAATTTTTTAAACATACCCAAGCCGGGCCCGAAATTTTTTTAAAAAAACACCCGGGCTGGGCCTGAAAATCTTTTTAAAAAAATATCCAGGCCGAACTGTATATTTTAAAACCAAATATTTGAAATCGCCATTATTAGCTATAAAAATCAAAATTTATTTTAAAAATATAGGCCGTGCCCTGCAAATTGTACCTCTGCAGGGTTCTGTTATTCTTCTTAAAAAAGAGAATGTTCTCTCATTAGTTTACTAATGGGAAGAGTTGCTTATATATATAACCATTTTAATACAATGGGTATATAATCTAAAATGTGTTTGAAATAATGCAAAGCATCCATAGCATTTTTTGGGACTATATCAACCATAGTTAATCTTTTAATCATAGTTATTCAGCTAATAAGGCATCATTATTTTAACATCTTCATGACAAAAATCTAACAAATATTTTTTTTTCTATCACCATCTGAAAAAGGTTGGAAAGACTTTTGTGGAAGTAATATCTGCGGATTTGTAAGTGTTGCATGATGAATTAAAAACCATTCATTTATTTGGGTTATAAATATATCTAAGAGAGGGGACATTTGTTTTATAATACTCTTCTACTGATCCTATATTAATGTTTTGACGATGAGCTTGCTGTAAGTCGAGGAGGACAAATATTAAACATGTATAGCTCTGCTTTTGACTCAACAATAACATATAAAATATGAAATTCTTTATCAACATTAGCTCTATTGAGTTCTAATAAAATGCTCTCCGCTATTCTCATCTTCTTAATCAAGTCAATGTCATGTTTTTGAAAAGTATTACATAAAATAGTTGTATAATTAAATAATACATTCTTGAGAAAAAAAATTTGCAATAAGTATTGAATCCAATAATTTTCTTGCTTCTGAGGAAATATTTCTTTCAAGTCATTGTGATATTTCAGTAATAGCATTAATAATCGGCTCTTTTAACTCCATAAAAGCTGTTACTGCTTAATGGCGGAGACTCGATCTCGTTGGACAAGCTTGCAATTTCTTAGTTTCAGAGATAATTATTATTTGACTAGAAATTTAGATAAATAATATGCCACTAAAATTTGAAAATAATAGGTAAATTACGCCAAGGAAAACTTGAAATTGAAATTAATTGATAAAATAACTAGTAGATGAATGTGATAAATAAATGTAATTAAATATATATATGAGATAGGAATAATTAACAAATATAAGCTATTAACAATATATTTTTGAAAAATATAATTCGGCATCTACATTTTTTGGCTTTGGGGGAGGGGGGATTTGTCCCCCTGCCCCCCCCCGCTGCGTACGCGCCTGAGAGCATATATATATAGATATAATGATAATCACTTCACAATATAATTTTGTGAACGTTTGAAGTTTTATTAAATTATTGTATAATATATTTTATAAAATTTAAAAATACATGAAAGTTTATAATGGTAGAATACATTTCCGACCAAATCCGATTTTAATATTAAAAAAATTCCCATAAGTAAATGATCTAAAATTGAGATTCAGAATCTCCATGAATTCCAAATCCCATTACTACAATACTATACCAAGATTAAGTTTGAAAAATTTAATAACTTTTTTTACTTATATATTTTTAATTCCAATAAAATCCTGATTTGATTTTACATGTAGCATACCATGCTTGGGTAGGGTTAAAGCATTTATCATATTTTGCATGACTGCAAAAAATTTCTAATTCTATTTTAGATTTCTCACTATTTTAAAACTTAGGCAGAATATGTTGAGTCCTTATTACGCTATGTTATAAAAAAAATATCTATGAAATATTAAAAATACGTGTATTGATGATTTAAGTCATTATGGTGGAAAGTTTTAATACATATTTCAATTAATAATTATAGAATTATTAATTTTGATGTATATATTATTATGTATCGAATTTGATTATAAAAAGAGAGATTATTAGCTAGCTCATCATTCATAAAAATTTATATATCTTCAACTTTAGAATGTTTAATTCAAATCGCATTTCAGTCAGTTATATTAAAATAAAAGAACTATATATCGAACACTAGTGCGTCGCTATGGAGAGGTAAAAGTGTTATCAGCATGCCTAAATTTAATTGAGCATCTATATGCTATATAGGTATATATCAAAATCAAACAATTTTTTTAATTAGGTGGATGATAAGAGCTAGCGTTGACAGTCACTTCATAGAATTAATCATAAATAATATGTTGTCTTTTAATTTAAATCTTTATACAATTTTTGGATTGATTGTGATGAGTATATTCCCATTACAATAATAAAATTATTTAGATTCGATCCGTCGAATATTCGATTCGAAAATATTCTTAAAATTTTCATTAAAATGGATTATTAAAACTTTATAAAAAGTTTCCCAAGGAACATGTTAAATATTTATGAATAATTTGGAATGTTAAAGAATAATTTCAAATTATAGGAATAATGATCGAAGATGAAAAGGCTATTATTTGTAGAATAATTTTTTACATTAACAATTAATAATACATTACCATATTTTTCACTTTTTGTAAAAGTAGTGATTGCGTACAAGCCCCAACCGTGGGATCAAACCACCTTGTGAGGCTTCCTAAATCATTCTTGTCTTATAATTAACAAAAATATCATTTTTATTTTTTAAGGTTGATATTTATAGAATAATTAAAATATTTTATTGCTTAAATTATAACTATACAATAAAATTTTGAGATTATAATATAATTTTAAGATATTTGCACCCTGGTTTTACAAATCCACACAATTATTGCATATTTTTTTTATATAGAGGCTACTAAAATCTATATTAGGACAAAGATTAAATATTATAGGCCTTTACTTTAAAGGTGGGATCAAGTGATTTGAAATGCCCATGATTCACCGGGTCTCCAATATTAAAAAGCTAATAATTTTATATAATTTTAATACATGTTTATCATACCGGTTGTAATTTTACTTTACTTAAGGATAACATTTTTTTTAAAAACCCGCTTGTGATATGCGGGTATTATTATATAAGTAATAATTTACTTTTTTATTCAATAAATTATCTAGGTGGACTCAAAATTTCAAAAATTAAACATGGTATCAAAATTTATGACAGAACAAAATTTTATATTGACCTAATTTATTATAACTCAAAATTTCTAGAGAAAAATTATATTAATTTGTAAATGTAGAGAATGAAAGCAAGGCTGATATATTAAATTGGCTAGTAAACATTCAATGACGAATACACATTTTGACTATAAATGAATTGGTAAGAATTCCATATTCTTGTCGGAAAACGTGGCCCACAGAATAAAGACAGCAACTAGCACGTGCAGTGAAATGGCTTTTCCTATCGCTGGGTAATGTTGAGTTCATGGAGATCATCCAAAAAATTGGAATAAAGTAACTTTTATATAAGATAACATAAAATTACAAAACTGAATTTATAATTAGTTATCTTCCACCATGTATGGATTAGCTCAGAGCTCAGAATTAGGATTATCAGAAATATCTTTATTAAATAAAACGGTAAAATTCCAATAATATAATTTTAAAGCATATAAAAAACGATGTTGGTGTAAAATAATATCCTTTATATATTGTTTTTATTTAAAAATTTAACAAAAAAGAAAGTTAAATATATTATATTTTCCATTATATAAACTTATAGCCGCAAACAATGTCCACAATATATTACAGCAGATTTAATTCAAAACATTTCCAAGAATAGTTTGTAAATAAAAAATTGGAAATGTTTTCCATCAAATCTGGTCAACACTGTTTCAATAAATAATAAATGTATTTTTTATTTTTCCTTGATATCTTTTTTGCGTTTCAAAAAGCAATTAGCATTTTATAATTGTATATATCATTTTTAAAAAATATAACGTTTCGATAATTCCCACAGCTGATTTGATATTCAAGCATCGCGCTAGCCACGTCAACAGATAATCAAAGGTATAAAAAATATCCTTAAATTTCGATCACCAATCTTGCAGAAAGGGATCATTTTCGACGATCGTTTTGTCAATGATAAATATAATAATTCCCTATTTTTCACTTATTCAATTATTATTTTTTTTGGTTTCTTATATGCGTACACATTGTAATTATAATTTGTAAGTTTATAAAAAAAATACTATAATTTTAAGATTTATATAGTAATTTATTATTGAGTTAATAAAATGGATTAAAAAAAACATTATAT